TCAGCTTTCTAGCGAGAGGCCACAGTTAAGCCGTGGCCAGTGTTGGTCATTCCTGCAGTCGTTACTCTCCCCCAGCCTGTTGTGTTCACCAACCAGAGCAGACCCGGGAGCTCCCAGGAGACCTGCTGGCCAGGCTGCCGTCTCACCTCACTGTTCACTGACTCTCCTGCAGAGGGGGTAAGGGAAGGAGAAAGGAAGTGGCCAGGCCACTGGTCATGATCCTTCCATCAAAGGTACCTGGCATCTCTGTGTCTGAAGCATCTGGTTTTGGGGGCCAATTCAATAGCACTAGCAGCTCCAGTCCAAGCTGTGCCCTTTTGGTCCAAGGTACAGGTCAGATCACCTGAAGCCACAGTTGCTGGAACATCCTTTGGGCCTGCCTCTGCTTTCCATGCCTCTGCTTTCCATTCCCCTGCTCCTGGTTTGTTAGGGGCTGTGGTATTTTCTAGGAACATCTGGATGGAGGGAGCCCAGTGGGGCCACTTCTGTCTATTCCTCATCTCTGGCTGTCTTCCCTTTTCTTACTGTCTTTTGGTCATCTTTTCAGTCTTATCACAAGAGGAAAGGGAGGTTTGCCTCTCTTCAGCAGATTCCCTCCTGGAAGCAGCTGACTTCTTGGCTTCAGAGTGCCCCAGCACTGGAAGCATCTGCAGGGTCAGTTGAGACCTGAGTGCGGTGCTCCTACCGGCAAAGGAGTTCCTACCCACCCTGCAGCCCTATGTGCTGGGCATTCAGGGAGGGTCCAGGGCCAAGATTTTGTTGTTTTCCAGTGGCTAGCCCCTCCCCCTTTTTTGGGCTTGGTGTGATGAGAGGGTAAGCAGCTGGCATCACCTGGCTGGGCAGGAATCTCTTTGCTTACCAGTGGGAAGAGGAACAATGTCAGACACATAGCAGAGCAGGAATGTCCCCAGGTCCAGGTCCAAAGGGCTGGGAGGGCTGCCTTCTGCCAGCACATGCTTCTTGGGATCTCAGTGTGAATGGTGTTCAGGAGGCTAGGGGAAGGCACTACAGGCTCAGAACCTACACAGCAACACCATAGACACTCTCTGCAAGGGGGATTCCTGGGGAGATTATGGACAAACTCAGGCCTGGCTGGAAAGAAAAAGCATCAGGAACAAGCCTTCAGTGCGCCATCTTGGTCTCATAGAGTTCAAGGCCCAAGCTACAAGCAGCTTGCTCCAACATCCAGGAGGTCCGGCGGTGCACACGCCTTGAGATGCCTGACAACCTCTACACCTTTGTGCTAAAGGTGAGTGACAAGGCTTTCCACACCCTGGGGCAATACAAATCCAGGCACGTACATCAGATCCAACACTGTTCCCTTCCTTCCTGATAGGTGAAGGACCGGACAGACATCATCTTTGAGGTGGGAGACGAGCAGCAGCTGAATTCATGGATGGCTGAGCTCTGGGAGTGCACAGGCCGAGGGTGAGGCTCCAGGCCCTCACCCCTGGCACAACCTTTGTTGCTACCACCCCTGACCTGCCCAGATCCTTAACCTCAGCCTCTTCTCCAGCAGGCTGGAGAGCACAGAAACAGAGGTGCATATTCCCTCAGCCCTAGAGCCCAGCACGTCCAGCTCCCCAAGGGGCAGCACAGATTCCCTTAACCAAGGTGAGTAAACCAATGTGCAGGCTATTGTCTTCTGGGTACACTGGAACCCACACTCAGCCCAGGACCACCATCACCTATCTTCTCTTAACAGGTGCTTCTCCTGGGGGGCTGCTGGACCCAGCCTGCCAGAAAACAGACCACTTCCTGTCCTGCTACCCCTGGTTCCATGGCCCCATCTCCAGAGTGAAAGCAGCTCAGCTGGTACAACTGCAGGGCCCTGATGCTCATGGCGTGTTCCTGGTGCGGCAGAGCGAGACACGGCGTGGGGAATACGTGCTCACTTTCAACTTCCAGGGCATAGCCAAGGTATGGAGTGGGGCAGGGCAGGCGGGACCGTGCCTCCTCTCCCCACTGGAGTTCAGGGCCCTAGAGGGACAGTCCGAGCCCACCGTCCTCTCCTCCCCCAGCATCTGCGCCTGTCACTGACCGAGAGGGGCCAGTGCCGTGTGCAGCACCTTCACTTTCCCTCGGTCGTGGACATGCTCCACCACTTCCAGCGCTCACCCATCCCGCTCGAGTGCGGCGCCGCCTGTGACGTCCGGCTCTCCAGCTACGTGGTAGTTGTCTCCCAGCCACCAGGTCTGAGCCTACTGCCCTTTGCTAAAGGGGATGGTGGGCACAGGGAAACTGGGTGAGGGTAGAGGCTTCCTGCAGACCCAGGGGTACAGGGATCTTGTCCTGTGTCCTGTCAGCATTTGCATCAACACTGATGGTATGGTCTCTTTTGGTCACTTGTTCTAGGTTCCTGCAACACTGTCCTATTCCCTTTCTCCCTCCCTCGCTGGGATTCACAGTTGGGCCTTCCCCACCTTAGCTCCTCTGGTTGTCCCCAGGGGCTCAGCCCAGAGGGTCTCCCCGGGCGATCCTCACCCCCAGAGCAGATCTTCCACCTGGTGCCTTCGCCCGAAGAACTGGCCAACAGCCTACAGCACCTGGAGCTTGAGCCTGTGAGTCGAGCCCGGGACTCGGACTATGAAATGGACTCATCCTCCCGGAGCCACCTGCGGGCCATAGACAATCAGTATACACCTCTCTGACAGAGGAATTCCAGGCCTGAACAGATGCCCTTGAGGAGCACAGGCAGAAGTGTGAACTTGTGAATGTAATGATCTTTCCTTCCTTCCAGAGAGATTTAAGGGACACTGTTAACTGCTCGTGCCAGTTTGGACGTGACCCTTCTATTAGGCCTGTTGAAGGGCCCTCCTGTAAGTTTTATCTATCAATCACCTGGCTTTCTCCTTATTGTTTACAGATGTAGTTCTTGTTAGAGGATGCCACTAGCTCCTGCCCAGGGTCCCTGTGCCCAGTCCCCATTAGAGAAAGGAGTTGGGGTGAGGGCCAGAGCTGGCAGTGGAAACTTGTTCTCTTTTTCACTGACACGGTCACAGCTGATGACAGACTTTCTACAGGAAGAGGGGTCATCAGGAAGACCAGAACACTAACAAGCCCTGGATTCTCATGGTTCTCCTATCTACTGTCAGTCCATGTGGCAGGTCTGTTGTTTCCACGCCACAGATGACCACATCTAATCTGCTTCTACTCTCAGCTTTAGGACAAAAGCTCTGTCAGAGGGACAAGCTAAAGGTCAAAAATGATTTTAAACATTTTACCTCAGACTAATTTCTTTAAAGAATTCAGGTTCAAAACTAAACCATTGCTTATTTCACTGCACTGTTTCAACTAACACCCATGCAATTTTTGTAGTCGGAGACAGCTATGCAAACCCTGCCTGACTAGTTCACGGTCTGAGCCAGCACGCTGGCTTCCTTGTCTACTGCAGTCTCAGGACAGCTACCTGCCACTGAGTGGCCACTGTCCTTCCCAAATGTCAAGAAGTGAAGTGTGTCACCCTTTCAGGGAAATTCAGGCAATTACTGAAAAATGGAGGGTGGCAAGGAACAGTTCTACCCTGGTGCCTTATGAATAAAAAACTGGATTCTGGTTTACAGCAGCTTTACAGTGAGAGTTAAATTAACTGAGGTTGGGGGAAGAACAAGTAAAAAGGGAAGAAGGACTCCTGGGCGCTTTACAGTAAATCTTTCAGCAACAAGGCTGGCTCTGTGCCCTCCAAGCATCGAATGGCTTATTAAATTATCCCACAAGTGGGTTTTAGGCTCCTTTTTTTGAGCCAAAATGGAAGCTGGGAATCTGGTGCCATAACTATTGAGAAACTCATTTAATAGCCCACATTCAGTGTTCTGCTCCAGCTGGCTACTCCTTCATTGGATGGAGAATGTATCTCCATGCACACACAGCACACACAATCTCCACCACCCAGGGAGGTCCTGAAGTTAAATCTCCATCTATACTCGCTTTCACAAGTGATACAATTCATAGGGGGACTGCCTCCTCCCAGAACCTTTGGAGGTTCAAAAACAAGGGGGCACTGACAGTGGAGTCAGCTGCTCTTGGGTGCCAGCAGAGCCTTTCAGTACAACCCCCCAGGCTCACTGCAGTGCCTCAATGAGAGGCTAATGAAACCTCAGCCTAAAACTCATAGGACTGCCTGCCTGCCTGCCTGGGAGGAGGGTTAGGTCTGCTCCTTTCACTTAGTCTCTGTACTCCAAGAGATCAGATTTTTGCTTCTAGGCTTCTAGAATTTTCTTGGGATCTTTCAGAGGGTGTGGAAAGAGCGCCCTCTGCACTTTTTTTTTTTTTTAGATGGAGTTTCACTCTTGTAGCTCACTGCAACCTCAGCCTTCCTGGTTCAAGCGATTCTCCTGTCTCTTGAGTAGTTGGGATTACACGCATACATACCATGCTCAGCTAATTTTTATATTTTTAGTAGAAATGGGGTTTTGCCATGTTGGCTAGGCTGGTCTTGAACTCCTGACCTCAGGTGATCCACCTACCTCGGCCTCCCAAAGTGCTGGGATTATAGGTGTGAGCCACCGTGCCTGGCCTGCACCACTTTTGATTTAACTAATTTATTTATTTTGAGACGGAGTTTCACTCTTGTTGTCTCCGTGTCCCAGGTTCAAGTGATTCTCCTGCCTCAGCCTCCCAAGTACCTGGGATTACAGGCATACGCCACCATGCCCGACTAATTTTTTTTTTTTTTTTTTTTTTTTTTTTTAATTAGAGCTGGGGTTTCACCATGTTGGTCAGGCTGGTCTCGAACTCCTGACCTTGTGATCTGCCCATGTTGGCCTCCCAAAGTGCTGGGATTACAGACGTGAGCCACCATGCCGAGCGCCTGCACCACTTTTAATACCAACACTCCTGGGTGATCATGGACCTTAAAGCAGACCCGCCACTGATCCAGATTTGCAGTCCATTTTTAAGGACACCTGTCTTTATAAAGTCAAGCAGCTTTCTCTGAAAAATGAATGCTAACTAGTGTGAACTGAAAGAGTAAGTAACAGTCTGAACCTTTTTTAAAGAAGAAAGGTTATCATGGAAAGTCACTGGTCCTCCCCTCTGCACAGGACAAGTGTCCAGTAGATAATAAACCAAATCAAGTTCCCTCCCTCCAGCCAGAAGTTAAACACCTGGGATATGACATCTTCACACCAGGAGCACTCATTTCTTAGCAGCTGCTCTGCATACATCTCTCAGGTAGTGCCAAGAGGCACACCAGATACAGCAAACTTAGCAGACTGTAATTAGCCATCTGACTGGCTGCAACGTGCAAGCTCAGATTCTGTGGCAGAGATTTGGAAGGCACCCTCCTCCAGACTGCTAACTTTCTAAACTCATCCAAGTTACCAGCTCAAATACATGCTGACAGAAAACTCTCATGGCACTAGGAAGAAGTGACACTAAGCCAATGCCTTTTCTTTGCGTGGGAGCAGGCCCACCTGATGAAGGGGTGGGCAGCAGTGTGGGGCAGGCACCCCACTGGCTGCAGCTAGCCCACCACAGGCACAGGACAGCACACCCCACCACTCTCCTTCCAGTCCTGACCAGGCCCAGTCAGCAACTTCCACCAAGAGCCATGGCTCAGCGTCAAACTGGACAGTAGGCATCATGATCCCTCCAGTCAGCTCTAATCATAGATTCCACCAGTACAGCTTGACAGCTCCTGGCACCATCACTTCCTTCATCTTTTATTCAACTTTTACAAACTAACAGTCACCAGCACCAAAGAATTAAGTCAACTAACCTGCCTTGAATTTTAGACCAGCAATCCATATGGCTTTATCTGGTATAAATCTTCTGCCTTTGATCATTTCTGGACCGTAAGAAAAAGGAATAGCAATCATTAAAATCTTGGGCCAGAGAACACTATTTTTACATAACAGTTTCTTAACCTAAAATCAAGGCCTTGGACTCTTCCCTGAGGGTTTGCCTGAGATTCCTTCATGCTTTCTATTCAGGGCTAAGTCCCTTATTGCAAATGTGTTAGCTCTAACATCACCCACAAGCTAGAGGAACTTGCAAGTATATTAACAAGGACACATCTGACATCCAGTGTTTGGTTATAATATACAGCACATTGTGATAACACAAAGTGGATTCATCTTGTATCATTATAGGCAGAAGGTATTTGGCAAATTTTTATGTATTGTTTTATGTACTGTACAAGTAACTTATTCTTGAATAATGCAAATTTTGCTATAATGTACAAATTGCTATATGTGAATTAAAAAGTTTTCAGAATCTTGATTTGCTGTCACAATATTTAAAACTCTATTAAGACCACGGTTGCTCTATAAAATCCTTGCCCTTCCCGAATACTTGCCCTTCCCTTTGTCCTCCCCGATGCAATCTGAGAATATTAAATGCTTATGAGTCCATGTCAATAAGCAGCTTTGTACATCTTTTCAGCCTTCCTGCCCTCTGGGTTTCTTCCTTGCAATTTTTTTCTGAGTGTCTCCTGCCCCCTACTGGTAAAATAGAAAGATGCCTGCTAATTAATACTCATTTTGGTTTAGGAGATATTAAAAAGGAAGCTTACAGAATCAGTGTCAGCCCAAGGATGTGGAATTTCAGTGCTGCCCAACTCTGGCCAACCTTCCTCCTCCTGAAGCAGATCTCTAATCCACCAAAGAGAATAGCTCAGTCTTGTCTTTTTCTAGAGATACCTTGAACCAGAACTAAAGGTGAAGAAGAAAAATCATTTGACAGCTACCTTCCGGGACATTCAAAATGCACACTTAGCGCACCTGCTTTGATGTTAAGTATCCTACAATAGAAGTAGCTTATACAGACACACACTAACTTGATCAGTTTTTAAAACTTTTTTTATTTTTTAATTTTTTTTTTTAGTTTTTATTTTATATTATCTACAAAGTAAAAGTTTTCCCTTAACTTAAAAGTTGAACCACTGTAGACAGTGATCACCTCATCGAACTTGATTTATAAATAATAATCCGTCAGTTTGACGGTAAGAATTTACTGAACCTTTGTCAAGTTTAGTAAAAGGGCGTTCCAAGTCTTGTTTTTTTTTTGTTTTTTTTTTTTTGTTTTTTTTAGCAGTAATAGCAGCAAGAATCACTCTTGTTACTTCTGTTGCTAGCTGATGTGTTCATGACTTTCAAGGGTTATTAAAAAATAAATAACTTCCAGTTTCGGCAAGCAGAGCTGGGGTACCTGCGGGACTTTGAAACAGCGTATGGAATTATGGAATAGCCCCAAGTTCCTAAATGCCTCTACTCGGTCCAAATATCTTCCACTGCAAGTGAACTGTTAGCATTCCTATTGGATGTTACAAGAAATCAACATATATATTTTAAAAACAAAATAAATGAAATTCTAGTTTTCTGTGCTTCCAGTTGGTAGAAGCAGTAGAAGGGAGGAGGGAATTTGGCCTTTCGGTTCCTCCAGGGCAGCCTTACAACTGCTGTTGGTGGTGGGCTTGTACTGTAAAAAGAAAAGCGAACATTGAAACAGAAAACTGGTAACACCACACATCAGCCTAGTGTCTCTGCAGCACATGATTGTAAACTATTCTTGTGCTAGCTGAACAAGACTCAAAATTGAATTCACTTCCCCCCACCTCCCGTCTGTACCAAAGGGGGAAGGGGTGGGTGGGTGGGTTGAAACAAACCGGTCAGACGTAAAACCACTTCAGATAAAACTCCCAAAAGATCTGTTCCTGGGGTAGAAAAAAAGGCCTTAACAATCCCCCTCCCCAAATATTAATCAAGCACCAGTATTGCTTTCAGAATAACAGGTCAGACTGTGAAGTATCACCATGGCACCCATCAAGTAGTAGAGCACAATCACAGGGCGCTCTCCCCGCGTCAGGGCATAGGCTGGGGCCAACGCTACACTCAAAGCCAGTCCATCCACAGCACTTTCTCAGCAGTATCTTCTCCAGAGCTACAATCAAACTCTGCCATAGTAATAACCCCCCACATGTCAGACTTTTGGGACTCAGGAAGGAAAACACTGCCCTGTCCAGCCTATCGTAACAAAGAAGGCCAACTGAGTCCTAGGCATGCATCAGCTACACAGAATGCTGCTGCTGCTGCTTCTCATCAAGCCAAATCCTGTATACCAGCAGAACACACACAGACTCGGCTCCCGGAAGCCTCAGGCCCTGACGCTGAACTGATCATCACAGTCCCTCCTGCGCACACTCCTGATCGGGTCTTGCTAGTTCTCAAATGCGGGGCTTGAAGCACTGGCCCTGCCTGCCATTCTACCTGTGCGAGCAGAATGCTTTGGGGTGCCCCGGCGGCCCCTGCACACACACGCCTCACCTGAAGGGTGCGTCATATAGGGGAAATGCGCTGTTGTCGAGACTGGAATGGGCTGTAGTGCACTTTGAGCGAGGGCGGCCTGGGGACCGCCGGGTGGCTGTGTCGTCATTAGCATCATTGGCGCATGGGCAGTTGGATGAGAAGGAACCATTCCTGACTGTACATGAGCCTGAAACAGAGAGCTCTTTTACGCATACAGGCAACATCGGCTTAAACAACATGTCAACTGCGTTCCTTTCACTGGGCTGGGACTCTCAGGAAAGGGCAACGGTGGGCCTCAGGGCCCAGTTCTGTTCTCGGGGACACTCTAGTGGACTATTTATTGACCTAAAGATGCGCTTCACCTTTGGGCAGATCCTGCAAGGGTCAGGGAGCAGGCACCAAGTGAGCCTGGGTAAAAGGGCTGTGCTGTCCTAGCCCTCGACATTTCTGATCATCGTATTCTATGTATAGGGTAAGGTCTTCACAAAGATTAGACCCCTGATCCAAGGACAGCTTTCTCAATATCATACAAGATACAATGATGCTTTAGAATCAGGCTGCCATGTGGGGCCTGAAGTAGTTTTGCAGATAACATCCCTTTCAAATAGAAAAGCAGATTACTACATTAATAAGCAGAGACTCACAGTCCAGTATGTGGATTACTTGGACCTCTCTTCATTTGCCTCTCTCCCTCTGCTTCTGGCCTGCTCACTAGGCAGTGAAAAGAGACTCTTAAGCCCCCATGACTCTCTCAGAGATATGCTGATGGAGCAGGAGGAGGAGGAGGAGGAGTTGCAGTTTAATGGCTCCAGTGAGATGGAAAGGAGTAATCTGAAATCATCTGGGCCAGCCCAGTGTTTCTGTACCAAGCGGTAGTAAGTTCGACCTGGTCTCACTCACTGTCAAGTTGGAGAGGTAATTTTAGTCAGCCCAAACAGCTGAGTTCCAGCTCTGCAGGGGGTTGGCAGGGCCAGGAAGAGCCCTTTCCTTTTTCCCACACTGTACACTGTTCTAGAGCATGATAAGCCTTGGATGAAATGCCATTTTTACTCTCATATATTCAAATGGGCACATGGGATATTTGAGCTTCCTTGTGTTAACCTTTTTGCCCTTTCAGCACAAAACCACAGTGAGGTTTTAGGGATCCCTGACTTACATGTAAGTTCACGTGCCTACTTAGCCACCAGCCTCTGCTAGACACTTACAGGACCCCAGCTCATATGAAGCTGACTCCACCAAACCACGCTGGCCCACACGGACCAAACCGGCTTCCCTCCCCACTATCAAAAAGCAAATCAACTGCAGTGCGCTACACCACAGAACCTAAACTTTGCAGGGTGAGGACGCCCAAACTTCCCAGAGCTGTGGAACTCTACTTACAAGGTAGCCTTCTGAGAGATAGATCCAACTGAGTCGCATCTCTAGCCCACACCTTGCCAGAGCCTCACTGGCGCACTATTTAACAGGAAATGGAATTCATTGTGGCAGGTCTCACTTAGACCCGCCTCAGAGAGTTCTGTTATGAAAGTAGCAGAGACATCTAATACAGCCAATTCACCCATAACAGCCCCAGGAGGGCCTCAAGGCCAGCATTAGAGCCCAACTTCAGTGCAGCTCCTTCTCCTCATTAAGACAATTCCCTGGGCCCTGGAGTGCAGGGACCTTTGTCAGCAGCTGATGCAGACAGCAACCACTGAGATGGCAAGCACACCTTTCACCTATAGCAGCTTACACTGGAGGTGAGCTCCAAAGTGCTTCCAGGGCTGCTCTTAAAAGAGAAATGGGACCACCTAGGTGCTTCCAGCTTCTAGTTACACTGCACCAATGTCCAAGGCCAAGCTCTCTCAAGAGTACAACTTATGGTCAAAGCAGATATATGGATAACCAGGGAAAACAATTGGAAAGCTGTGTTTGGAACTCATGTGAGTAACAATCAAGATGACAGGCCCCAGTAGTCACCTCGGAGGGCTGAGACTCTGTGAAGGCCGTCATCCCGGCCCAGCATCCGAGGTAAGTGTGTGGAGGGGGATATTTATGTACACATATATATAGTAGGCTCTATAGACATAGCAAAGCAGACACAGAAAGGAAAGAAGAACTGGGTTGCATTCCAGAGTCAAAGATAGTTTTAAGGTCTCAGTTGGGAAAAACTAAAGGACTGACCAACCACCTTCACTGATCCCACTACAAAACCACACAAACGTTCCCTTAGGGCCAGATCACGTGTATTTGAGTGGGAAAGGGAGACAGGCAAATGGCATGACACACAGGGTTTCTTAGCTGGGAGAGCCTCTAGCTGCTTACCAATAACCTTCATATTCTACCTGGCCTTCACAGAAAGTTGGCTAAAGCTGGTTTACCTGAGGTACGTGGGCCATGTGGGGTGGATTGGTATACGCCGGCTGAACATGAGAAGGATGGATCGTAAAGACGGTCTGCTGTGCTGCTGGGAAACTATTCTGTGGCGACTGTGTGTTGGAGGCAGGTGTCATGGAGGGTGGGGTTGGCGCAAGCCCCGCGTGGTAAATGGCTGACTGCTGCTGTGGACTGGCCAGATGGAGAGCCTGGGCGGCCTGGTGCTGATGGTGCTGCAAAGCGATAGGAAAGAATTGAGAGAAAAACTTCTTTAATGAAAAGCAGCCAAGGAATACTCACAAAGCTGAGCTTTGCACATGTGGGCCTATGATGAGGGGCACGGGAAAGTACAGGGGGAATATACAGGGTGGTAAGAGCAAGGCTGGAAATGCCTCGCATCTGGACATTCCTTTCTGGGTTGCAGAAGCCTGATTCTCAGCCTGGCAGTTAGAAGCTTCTGACCATGCTAAAGTCAAACAAGACTACTGCCCCAGAGAACTGATAGATATCAGAGATCTTTAATTGCCTCTATTACCAAACATGATTCAAGAAGCTCACAAGGAAACCTTAGGAATTAAAATTTAAAATCCCAGCCAAATACTAATTACCTTATGAACTTTGTTAAATTTGATTTTGCATTATCACAAGTTTCCAGAGCTTATCCAATCACCTTATTATCATATGTATCCTTTTTTTTTTTTTTTTGAGACGGGGTTTCACCATGTTGGTCAGACTGGTCTCGAACTGTTGACCTCAGGTAATCCACCCGCCTCGGCCTCCCAAAGTGCTGGGATTACAGGCGTGAGCCATGGCACCCAGCCTTATCATATGTATTTTAAATGTGACTCTTAAAAAAGCAACCACACCAGGGGCACAGCTGTATCCAGCTTCATGAGGGCGGACGTGCTATGTGTTCTTATGACACGATACCTGACACCAGAAATCAGATACTAGGATGAGGAAGCAGCTCCATGCAGATCTCTGAGGTGCCCTTACCTGAACAGGACTGGGTGCAGGATGACTTCCACCATGTTGGCTTTGCTGCTGTCCAGTGGGGGTAGCTGAAGGCTGAGGGTGTGGAGTATGTGGGTGCAGGGTAGCGTTAGGGTGCGCATACTGCTGAGCAAGGGAGCCCGTGGAAACTACAGTGAAAGAAAAAGGAGCATGTACACAACCAATGTGTGAAAACCTCCATGGCTCCTCTATGCCTCATCAACTGAACTTTCTTGATGGTTACAATGCATAACTCACACCACTACCAATTTCTATAGTAGACTCCATTTAAACCATGCATTGTCTTGAAAAATAAGTGTAGCTATTGCTTAACAGACTAGCATTTGGTTCATATAATACAGCTCTACATATGATATTAAAATCAAATTAGTTTGCATTTGCTCTTAAAACAGTCACTAGGTTTTCCCAAAAAGGCAACCTGAAAGCACAGGCAGACACTACTCAAACAAGCGCCATCTAGGCATGCGCTCTTTAGCTCAAGGCCATCATCTGGCTAACCTCACCATGCTACTGCCCTGGAGCAATGTCCTAAAGGCACATACTATATTGGGTGGGGTGGGGTGGGGAGGCCAGTGCTGTGTTAAGGGACCTGGCAAGGCCAGGGATCTATCATCAGGGCAAAGGACCACAATCTCTCTCAGCCAATCATAGGAGCCCCTCTGACACTCAGTTCACTTCCTTGCTTCATAAAATAAATACAGAAAGGAAACTCCCTTCTGAGTGCTGCAGCCCTTTAGAAAAAATTTTACTAGAATAACTTCAAAGGAAACATGATGCCCCAGTTTAAGTCAAAATAAAGATAAGAACTCAAAGCCAATTCTTTGTGAATCTCAGCATGGGCCACACCTTGGCACAAAACCATTTCTTCAGGTCTCTCTTTTATTTCTTTTTTTTTTTTTTTTTTTTTGAGATGTAGTCTCATTCTGTTTCCCAGGCTTACTGCAACCTCCACCTCCTGGGTTCAAGTGATTTTCCTGCCTCAGCCTCCCAAGTAGCTGAGATTACAGGCACGTGCCACCATGCCCGGCTAATTTTTGTATTTTTAGTAGAGATGGGGTTTCGCCATGCTGGTCAGTCTGGTCTCAAACTCCTGACCTCAAGTGATCTGCCCACCTCAGCTTCCCAAAGTGCTGGGACTACAGGCGTGAGCCACCATGCCTGACCTGTTAATGTGTTTCAAAAACAGTAAGTTGAGAATCAGAAGCACAGTAGGATGTGTTCACTACTTCCAGTGACTATGGACAACACACTATGATACAAATCTAACCTGCACGTGGCTATGAGCCACATGTTCTCACAGAGTGTTCTCAAGACAACTCTAGCAAGGCATGATACCCAGCCCTCTTGAGAAATGAATTCTAAAATCCGTTAAGATAATTACCCCATACGCAGAAATGATTCCAAAATAGTTCCTCACGTTCTTCATATAACGTGTTAGCAAACACAGACTTATGCAGGACTGACTGGGGACAGAAGCAAGCACAGCTTTGGGACCAGGCGCCCTAGCTCCAGCAGTCTGGTAGGCAAGGCTGCTGAGTCATCAGCAAAGATGACTCTGGGTATATCCCATGTAAATGGTGTGCAGACGGTTAGGCTAGGCAGATGGAGCAGTTCTATAATGCTAGGTGTGGCAGGGCTAAGGGCCACCAACACTCCAGCCCAAACAGTTATGTCTCCAGTTGCAAATCTCTCTCTTAGCAGAGGAGAGGGCCAGGCAAAGAGCCAGTTCTGGGATCACCTGTGCATCCACTGCCAATGCCACAGCTGTCAGAAATATTCTTTCATGCCCAGTTTAGACTGAATAAAGCAGTTTTGTTTATACACTGGAAAAAAATTTTCCAGACTGCGGGAATTAACATATGCCAGAACATTTTAACAAGAAAACTGTGGCAACATATTCTCTGAATGTTTTTAAGAGTAGTGAATGTCTTCTGGGAGCTGGAACAAACGATGTACAACTGACTTCCTGAGCTTCAAAGTCCCATGAGTCTATGAAGACAGTCCTTTTCTCCTAACTCGCTGGCTCATTAACAGGCCCTCCATCATCATCATACTCATTAAGTTTACTTGCAGCTCCCCCAAATTGTGTAGGCGCTGACTTGGTCTAAAAGAACATCTGATGTAAATTTTGAAACTGAGTTTTGCTTGTTCTTGTAAAAATCTTAAACATGCATTTGTTTGTTTTTATTTTATTTTTGACATAGCCTTGCTCTGTCACCCAGGCTGGAATGCAGTGGCACAAGCTCGACTCACTGCAACCTCTGCCTCCTGGGTTCAAGCAATTCTCCTGCCTCAGCCTCCTGAGTAGCTGGGATTACACGAATGCACCACCACGCCCAGCTGATTTTTGTATTTTTAGTAGAGACGGGGTTTCACCGTGTTGGCCAGACTGGTCTTGAACTCCCGGCCTCAAGTGATCCACCCACCTTGCCCTACCAAAGTGTTGGGATTACAGACATGAACCACTTCACCTGGCCTAAAAATTTATTTTTGAATAATAAAAAAGCCACATGTAGCTAAGTAGCTACTATGTTGGACAGCACACTTTTTTTCTCACTCTGTTGCCAGGCTGACGTGCAGTGGAGCGATCTCTGCTCACTGCAACCTCTGCCTCCTGGGTTCAAGTAATTCTCCTGTCTCAGCTTCCCAAGTAGCTGGGACTACAGGCACCCACCACCGCACCCGGCTAATTTATTTGTATTTTTAGTAGAGACAGGGTTTCACCATGTTTGTCAGGCTGGTCTCAAACTCCTGACTCAGGCAATGTGGCTGCCTCAGCCTCCCAAAGTGCTGGGATTAGAGGGGTGAGCCACTGTGCCCAGCCAACAGCGCAATTTTTGTAGCACATTTCCATCATCACAAAAAGTTCTATTGGATGGTGATGTCTACAGTTATCATGGTCCCTTACTGTTAAACCATTAGCACTAACCCCTACCCCCACCCCTAGCCTCTTAAAAATGTCATTTGTAGCAATATTAAATCTGTCTAAGGAAAAGCAAATCCCAAATTCTATTCATGGGGATTCATAAAGATAAGAGTACGAAATCTCAGAGGGTTTTTTTTAAAACTTTATTTATTCAAGAAATTTTGCACTAAAAAGTTTTAAATTTCACTTTTAATTACCTTCTAAGCAAAGTATTAAGAATATTAAAAAGTAACAATAAATATGGAGAATTATTATGCCCATGAAGTCTCATAATTAAGTTATTCATCAACTGGAAAAAATGTAAAAATCTTGAAATCATTTGATGAAAAAAAAAAAGATTAAAAAAAGATGAAATATTTTTACTATGCATTTTTAAAAGGCATCTCTGCGATTTAAGTTTACCAGTATTTAAAGACTATAATACAGTGTTCTGATCTATAGCTAATTTGCATGCATAGCACAAATCCCAAGATGAGTGAATGTACACATGGGCTTTGTTTAAAAAATATATATATATCCTTTCCCTACATAAAACTTAAGTAGCCTTCATAAAATCTTTTGGATTAAAGATAATCAAAGATGCATTGCTTCTTTGGGCCGGACCTAGTCCAGAAGTTTCCCACTGAGTGTTCCTTGATATAAATATTTATGATTCTAAACATGTGATCAGTCAAATCCTTAATAACACTAATCACATTCCAAAACTAGTTTCCTCAGCCATGATCTCACGGAAACAAATTCAGTATATAAAGCTGTGTTTAATTTGTAACTAGGTTTTGTCATTTTGACTTTGGATGCACAAGTCATAAGAAATCACCAGCATTGCAAAACTTGAAAAGTAAAACAAAACAGAATCTTCCAACTTGTAAATTTGATGTTAAATTCAGAAAAAGGGAAGTGAAGGAAAGTTGAAAACTCCAGGGAATAAAAGGCAACCTGACCAAACCATGACAAAATGGCTTAGAACAGGGGAAAATGAAGCAGCAAATTAAATTAGTAGCCCAACTGTTAGTTTCTTTAAAAAAAAATACTGATACTCCCTTTTAGGGAAAGTTGTGCTAAAGCAATTAAGACTTAGGTGAAATGATTAAAGGCCTTTTAGCTACTTACCAGGAAAATGACACCAAACTACTAACAGAGACAGTAAGATGGTGAGGATAACTACATTTGAGACTTCAAATTAAATACATAATAAAATCACCCACTGACACTATCTTTTACACACTACAATCACAGACATAGTTTCCCCTTTAAGAGTATATACATACAGCAAGACTCCTTTTTAAAGAGCATCTATTAAAGGATTACATTTAACATCTCCTAGCACCAAATAAATTTTTATATATACGTATCAGCTTATTTTTGGATACCAAGTCATGGTATAATTAACGAAAATTTAAGGTCAAATGCATTTTAAATGCTAATATGGCATTTAGTAGAGTCAGACATTGAGCCACCCCAAAATAACTCAAAATGTTGTCCCTAACATAAAATTTGAATACTTAATATCTTCTAGAATACAATGTTTCATACAAGGTGACACATATTAATGCCACAAATTTCTAAAGGATTTCTACAAATATTAGTACTCTTCCTATTAAAATACCAAAGTCCATGACTAGCCTTATTTTTGTTTTTATTTTTTACTTTGAGACAGTCTTTCTCTGTTGCCCAGGCTGGAGTGCAGTGGAGTGATCTTGGCTTACTACAACCTCCGCCTCCAGGATTCATGGAATTCTTGTGCCTCAGCCTCCCAAGTTAGCTGGGAATACAGGTGCACGTCACCATGCTTTTTGTAAAGACAGGGTTTCACCATGTTGGCCAGGCTGTTCTTGAACTCCTGGCCTCAAGTGATCCACCTACCTCGGCCTCCCAAAGTGCTGGAATTACAGGCGTGAGCTACCACGTCCGGCCCTTATTTTTAAAAATTGTCCTACAAATAGGAAAAACACACCTTACAAGTTTTCCTTTCCGAAAGAGAGCTCTGCCCAGACTTTCTCCATGAAGGAGCAACCATTTCTGTACTTTTTGCCAGGTGGGAAGAGGAGACTTGTGCTGTCCAAGACAATGACCTGAGTGGTCATGCTCTCTTGATTAAGCTCAAGACATCCTGAGGGGACTGCCTCCTGAATATTTTATTTTTTGAGACAGAGTCTTGCTCTGCCACGCAGGCTGGAGTAAAGTGGCATGACCTTGGCTCACTGCAACCTTGGCCTCCGGGGTTCAAGCGATTCTCCTGCCTCAGCCTCTCAAGTAGCTGGGACTACAGGCACTCACCACCATGCCTGGCTAATTTTTGTATTTTTTAGTAGAGATGGAGTTTCAACATGTTGGCTAGGCTGGTCTTGAACTCCTGATCTCAGATGATCTGCCCGCCTCAGCCTCCCAAATTGCTGGGATTACAGATGTGAGCTACTGTGCCTGGCCCCTCCTGAATATTTTAAACTTTTAGCTATGCACAAGGCAGAAAGGTTTTTCCCTTAGTATTTCATCAGTTCTATTCAATTAAAAATCTTGGTAGGCATAAATTTCTTCTTATCAGGATATAAATAAACATTTTAAGTTTATACAAAGCTTGTGGCTTTGGGGGTGTGTGTGTGTATGTACATATATATATATGGCTGTTCAGGAAAAGCTTCTCTAAACCAGAAAAATATTAGGCATTTCCCAGTCACATTCACTTGGTATGCAAAAATTGATTTCTTGCAGCTTGGGGGGGGTGTGTGTCTGTGTGTGTATATGTACATATATATATATAAAGCTGTTCAGGTAAAGTTTCTCTGAACAAGCAAAATATTAAGCATTTCCTAGTCACATTTGCTTGGTATGCAAAAATTGATTTCTGAAACAACTGCATTTTCCATTAACTCCAGCCTTCTTAAACTGGATATTTCCATTTTAAAAACTGAATTATTTATAGATATAAATACTTTCAATAATTTGACTGACACAAGGAAAATACTGTTCAACAAGACTATCCCTTAACATGTATTCTTTAAAAAGTGTTTTACTGTACAATTAAAAATTAGTATAAAAAACCCAACTCACTGGCAAAGTAGAAAGAAGGGCTTGTCTCCTTGTTGTATGGTAATTTGGGACATGCTGAATTTGGAAAATAGAAAGGTAAATTAGCCTTTTGAGGTGTGCATTTTCCAAATTTTCTGGAAAGGTTGACATATTAGTAATTTCTTTCTGTATTCATGCATAATTCATTTTTATTTTATAAAAGATGATGAGCACCTTAAACACTGCTACAGAATTTTAAAAAATAGGACTAAGCCGGAAGACACTGTTCTTCTGTACTTAGGTGTCAAGTTGTCATGCTGACTTGCTTAAAAGTGAAAGGAATAAAATCATTATCTAATAAAAAGACCAACATGGCATTCTACTGAACAACCTTGATATAAATCATGTACCAAAATGAAACAATATTTACCAAGTTTAATTCAATAGACACACAATTTTGCAAAACATTACTAAAGGAAATGTCATTATCCTGAAAGATTATCTGGTGATGGATCCAAAAATTTAAAAACATAGCAAGAATATAAACATGAATTTTATCATTTCTTATCAAAACATGTCTACATAAAAGAGTATATGGGTATATTTAAATACACCTGGAAGCATACACACCAAAATGTTAAAAGGCAGATATCAGGTGGAGGGATAATGGGTGCTTTTCATTTTTTTTTGTTGTTGTTTTCGTTTTTGTTTTTTTTTTTACTTACTGTATTTTCTTACTTATCTGCATTAAACTACCAAAAACAAACCAAAAAAGGATTCTGGATCTAACTCTCCCTAATGGCTCTAGTTAGTAGGAAAGGTTGTTTTATTTTTGTTTCTGAAAGGTAAAAGCATCACCATAAAACAAAATTAGATGGATTAGAAGAGTAGATGTGAGGCCGGATGCAGTGGCTCACACCTGTAATCCTAGCACTTTGGGAGGCCAAGGTGGGCAGATCACGAGGTCAGGAGTTCAAGACCACCCCTGCCAACAAAGTGAAATCCCATCTCTCCTAAAAATACAAAAATTAGGCCAGGCATCCCAGCACTTTGGGAGGCCGAAGCAGGCGGATCATGAGGTCAGGAGATAGAGATCAGTCTGGCCAACATGATGAAACCCCGCCTCTACTAAAAATACAAAAATTAGCTAGGTGTGGTGGTGCACACCTGCAGTCCTGGCTATTCGGGAGGCTGAGGCAGAAGAACTGTTTGAACCTGGGAGGCGGAGGTTGCAGTGAGCCAAGATCACGCCACAGCACTCCAGCCTAGAGACAGAGCAAAACTTCATCTCAAAAAAAAGAAAGAAAGAAAGAAAGAAATTAGCCAGGTGTGGTGATGCATGCCTGTAGTCCCAGCTACTCGGGAGGCTGAGGCAGAAGAATCACTTGATCCTGGGAAGCAGAGGTTGCAGTAAGCTGAGATCATGCCACGGCATGGGCAACAGAGCAAGACTCCATCTCCAAAAAAACAAAAAAAGAAGAAGAGCATATGTGAGGAAAACAAAATTAAAGTAACTTCTTAGAAGGGATGGGATGGAGACAATCATGAAAGTTAGATTAAGGTAAAAGAGATGAGGTTTGTAACAAAAGCCCTTTCTAAGATAGCTAGAAAGAGTACAAGGTCAATAATTATTTAGAATGTACACATCTCTTATTTTATCAATTTAACTGTTCAGTAATGTTAGCATATTTGTATTAAACATACTACAAATTTTAAAACAATAATGAGAATTTCAATTTGCAGTCATTAGTGGTCCTATGTTTTTAATATCTTTGGCTATGGTCATAACAATTAATGAATGAGAAAAGGTGACATAAAATTGTCACCAATATCTAGATGCATGTTCTTCTGTTTGTATTAAATGTTTTAAAAACCTGGATATGATGTAGCTTAAAAAGAAAAGCACGATTCATACTCAAAGTATTTGGTTCCTTTGAGAGAACTTATGGCAATATATTTAATAAATATAGTTATAAAATATAAATTGTTCAGGGAAGATGAGTATAAAATTAACACTTCTATGTAAGTTTGTTGTAGTTTATAAGAATGTACTTTAAATTTTGTTTATATTTGACATAAGACTTTGAAAGTCTAATAATAATTCAAATAAATCACTTAAGATTTAGTGAAAAACGTGGTTTAGCAGATTAAATTATGGCTTATGATGGCATAGAACAAAATAATTTTTCCTCATATTTTGTTTAAATAAGAGACAGGGTCTTGCTCTGTAACCCAGGCTGGATTACTGGTACCATCATAGCTCATGGCAGCCTCAAAGTCCTGGGCTCAAGTGATCCTCCCATCTTGGCCTCCTGTGTAGCTGGGACTACAGGCACATGCCACCATGACTGGATTTTTTTTTTTTTTTTTTTAATAGATGGGATCTTGCCATCTTGCCTAGACTGGTCTTGAACACCTGGGCTAACCGATCCTCTTTCTCGGCCTCCCCAAATGCTTGAATTATAGGTGTGAGCCACCATGCCCAGCTCCTAGCATCCTTTTTAGGGTCTGAAGTACCCCCAAGGGAATCTTGATTAGTGACGATCACACCAAGTGCACAGCTTTGCCCCTACTCTGCCTTCTTACTGACAGCAATTAAATACCACCTGTGTAAACTGCAGGAGAGTAATTCTGATTTGGCTGAGTAACTTTCTCTTGGCATGAAAGAACTGGCTTTGATGACTAGTTCATTCCAGATTTCACTGGACATTAGATCTAGTGCTTTGTTTTGTTTGCAATATTTCCTATTTATCCACGCATGAATGCACTTTGGGGTCCAAGACCCACTGCTCTTCAAATGGACATGTTCTGGGAAGTTGTTATGAAAATCATCAGTGCCTCAAACAGTATTTATCATATAGGCTGTTTCAAAACCAATGAACATTCATCCAAAAGATGAAGCCAGATATTGGCAGTGAATAAACACAATGGGGAGAAAGATTCTGCTCAACATTATCGTATTGTTGCTACAGTGTCTCAAAATCATGGGTACCCAAATAGGGAAATTTTAGCTCAAAAGTTTCAGATCTTATTCCAAAGGGAATATGCCAGAAAATGGAAGGAAAGGGATGTTTTTTCCACTTGTTAAATCATGATGTATTCACCAGGAAAGTATAAATAATCATAATGAACTTTTAATCTAAGCCTTTAGCAAACTGGAAAATTGTTAAAATATATACAAAAGTTACATAAAAGCCAGCGTGATGACTGAATCGTGCCTTTTCATGCATATTCAGTCCTGGTTAAGACAACTAAAGACAAGCCAAATGACAGGAGATCATAACCCAAATAATAAACCAAGTCAGTTTGTCAGTATCTTTTTCAATTAAATACAGATGAGCTTCTTGAAAAAAATGTTTTCCAAAACATAGCAATCACACAATTTTTTATTTAAAATGCATAATCCACAATAAAAAGTTGAAAGTGATAATGTGGAAAATTAAGACTGGACTTATAAAACTAAACACCTTTAATCATGTACAAATTCCTATCAGAGGTGAGCCTTTGTGGCAGACAAAAGCCTTCAGGAAGAAAGCATAAGCTCTGGGTTACAGGTAACAGGAAGGATGACTGTTGCTGCCCAGGTCCTATTCTCATTAACCTACAGAATGTTAAAACTTTTATTCTTCAAAAAGGACAGAGATGATATGAAAAGCAGTGATGTCTCAAGAAGATGGTTTGCCAGAAATCTGTAAATTTTTTTTTTTTTTTTTGAGACAGAGTCTCAGTCTGTTACACAGGCTGGAGTGCAGTGGCGCAATCTCGGCTCACTGCAACCTCTGCCTCCTGGGGTCAAGCAATTCTCCTGCCTCAGCCTCCCGAGTAGCTGGGATTAAAGGTGCCTGCCACTGTGTCTGGCTAATTTTTGTATTTTTAATAGAGATGGGGTTTCACCATGTTGGCCAGGCTGGTCTTGAACTCCTGATCTCAGGTGATCTGCCCACCTTGGCCTCCCAAAGTGCTGGGATTACAGGTGTAAACCAACACGCCCAGCCTGAAATCTGTAAATTCTTAAATAACTCAATTTTGCCTAGACATACTCATTCAGGACACCTAAACTTAAAAAATAAACATTTTATATTCTCAGTATTTAAAAAAGTTTAAAGAGGCTTTAAAAATGAAATGTCCATGTAGTTGCATGTAACCATAATCTCATTTTTCATAGCAGTACACTTTTCAATTGCATGAATAAACCAAAATTTGTCCCCTACTCCAAAAAAATAAAAATGCAAATAGGAAAACTAAATAACACTACAGGAATTATCAGAAACATTTAAAACAAAACATCTTAATGAAATCAGTACTATTTAAAAGTGTATTCTGAAAAACATTTGAAGCAATCCATTAATTCTATATTATAAGATACACAAGTGGACATTTTATTTTAAATTATCAACAATGAAAATCTATTATTTTGGTACTTTAAACAGCTGCTAAGTTGATCTACACAAAGTTCTCTGTTTAGTCACAAAACAAAGATGGGTTTTTTGCTTATTATTCTCACATATAAATACTGTTTAGTTTTACATAAAATACTTCTCATTTTCATTTCAGCATTCTGTTTACATTGGTTATATTTAAAGTGTGAATCATGTCTAAAATAGATCTAATATTACACAATTTCAACCACTTAAAATACAGCATGATATAGAAGCATAGCATTATCATTATAACAAACAGCAAAAAAAATATGTATTGCCAATGACCCTCAGAGCAAGTAGGGAAGCAGAATGTTTTCATGCCGGAGAACACTTTTATGTTTTTATTATGATAAAATTATCTTGCATGCCATAGGCAGGATATACCAAATCATAATACTGATGAGGAAGAGGAGAAAGGTACCTTTCTCCACAAAGATGGTTTGCCGTTATATACATCATTATATTTTAGTTAAAGTAGGAGAGAGATCTGAAGACCAGGTACAGAAGTAGAAACTATTTGCCAAAACTTGTAAAGCAAGTCAGGGAGAGAAATAGGTTCATCTTTTCCTTTAGATTCTTGGCCCTCAATGTCATAAAAGGTCAGGTTATTCTTAGAGTATGTTTTCAGAAATTTAAAACAAATTAAGAGTCACACGCACTGGAAGAGACAAACAAAGTGCTTCCTACCATACATCGCATGCGTCTGCTCATGAGCCCCGTACTGAGTTGCTGAAGAAGATACTAAGCCAGGCTGGGCATGTGTTGGTGGTGCCATCATTCTAGCATTACCCTGTATTACAGGACTATAGACATGAGGATGCTGTGTTCAAACAAAAAATAAAGAAAGAACATTAACACTGCAAATAGAGCCAAGCAGACTTTAGTTAAGATTTTTAACTCCATGGTTTCCAGATTATCAGAAACAACTGTAAACTCTCAACTTTTTCTTGGCTGCTTCCTTTGAAACTCTTACAATGATCAGTAACCTTTGAATATGTATTAAAAAGGGTTCCCAAATCCTTAGCTATCTACCCTACCATCACACAGAAGCGAAAATTATAAAGGAAAACCCCTTTACCATATTAAAAGTTTTTTTTAAATGGTACAAAAATTAAGAGTTAGCCCCTACCAGCCTTACCTGAGACTGATAATGTGGCACATGCTGAACAAGGGGCTGATTTGGGAACTGCTGAGGACTGTAGGCAACATATTGCGTGGAGTAAGCTGGTGGGGTGGCTGCAATCGGTGGGCCTGCTGCTGACGCTGGGTGCATCATGGCACTCTGATGATGCTGGTCTTGCCGCTGTTGGGGCATATTTGGTACTGCAGAAAAAAAAGATGACTGCCTATCAAACAGTATCTCCACAGCATAATACATGTTTTCACATGATCTAGGAGGTTCTGCATGATTTGACCCTGCAGCTGTGTCTCTGATGCTATGTGATACCACTCCCACTTCTGCCATTCTGGGTTGTTTTCCTATCATGCATGCTAGTCCTCAGCCTCAAACACCAGTCCCTAATCCCAGCTGCGATACTTCTGCCTCATCCTCCAGGTGTCAGCTTGAAAGCAACTTCCTCAGAGAGACTTTCTCTCATGGCCCTCAGACTTAAGTCCCTGTATCAGACTCTCACAGCATTATGAAATCACTTTTCCTTCATACCACTTCTCATATGGTATTTGCTGGGATGGGCACTGTGTTCATTTTGAGAAAAATAAAAGCATGACCAAAGAACCAAAATAGATAAAAAATAAAATCCCTTATTTCCTACCACTGAATTCTTGTAACGTTTCCCATTCTTTCTCCAACCCAGTATAACACAACACCATGTAGCATATTGCAGGTTTCTAAGTAGTTCTTTTCAAAGACACTCTATGTCTTGTCTTAATCCACACAGGAGGTCAGCATGTAAGGTCCTCTCCCTGTTACAACTCTAGTTAAGAATTCAGCTCAACTGTTGTCTGTCTCCCATGTGAGGTTTTTCCCAGTTCCTCCAGCACAAGCTAGCTGCTTCCCCGTGCCTTTCCTCACACATCTCTTACAACACTATTGTCTGTGATCTGTTTCCGGTGTGGCATTAAGCAATCCACTTCAGGAAAAAAATTATGGAATGACTGCTTACAACTAGGTATAAGGCACAAAGAATATAGAACTTGATGTGTTTATAAAATCATGAGAACTGATTATATAAGTAACTGCAAATTTGTGGCTAAACAGTCACAGACTTGCTGAAATTTGGGAGAGCTAGTCACATATTACTTTATGTAGAAAAGCAAAACTGAAAAAATTTTTTCTTACTCTTTATTATTTTTTTTCTCGCTCTCCCTCCCTCGAAAATTTTTTCTCTATTTAATCTTGCATGTACGTATTTAAAAAGCGCCTCCTTTTGGTAAACAAAAAGCCACTGAAAACTTGTATCACTTTTATACAACGAAAGTTTGTCCAATTATGCTCACTAACTAAGATTAAACTATTCATTATTATTACTTTGTTACTTATTACCTTCCTGCATATTTAAAAAATAATAAAAAAAGCTAGTCAAGCATACTATGGTACTATTGTTTGGGTATCATGTGTTCGTCTCCACCAATTCTCATGTTAAAATTTGATCCCGGGGCCAGGCGCAGTGGCTCACACTTATAAATTACTGCACTTTGGGAGGTCAAGGTAGGCAGACTGCTTGAGCCCAGGAGTTTGAGACCAGCCTGGGCAACATGGGGATACCCTGTCTCCACAAAAAATAAAAATAAAAATATTAGCCAGCAGTGGTGGTGTACATCTATGGTCCCAGCTACTCAGCAGGTTGAGGTGGGAGGAACACTTGAGCCAGGGAGGTAGATGCTGCAGTGAGCCATAAATTATACCACTCCACTCCAGCCTGGGCTTGGTTTCTTTTCCTCCCTCCCCTCCCCCTGTCTCAAAAAAGGGGAGGGGAGGGAGGAAAAGAAACCAAGCCCTTGACTTTGCCTGTTATTTGAAAAATGTTAAAAATATCTTTATCCAACACCTCAAGGAATGGAATTTAGTAAAGGAGCAGGGTGAAAACTAACATACAGACAGCAATAGCCTTCATATATGGTACTTTATACTTACTTCATAAGTAATTACTTAAAGATGCAATGGAAGAGAAGTCCCTGAGTTACATTAACACTAAAAAAAGAACATACCTAAGGCATACACTGAAAAAAATGCACAAAACCTTGTAAGGATAAACTTTATGTTTATTTACTTATTTTCTTTGAGACACAATCTCACTGGGTCGCCCAAGCTAAACTGCAGTGGTGTGATCTTGACTTACTGCAATCTCTGCCTCCCAGGTTCAAGTGATTCTCCTATCCCAGCCTCCAGAGTAGCCAGGACTACAGGTACACACCAAGACGCCTGGCTAATATTTTTCTTGTATTCTTAGTAGAGATGGGGTTTTACCAATGTTCGTCAGGCTGCTGTTGAACTCCTGACTTCAGGTGATCTGCCCACCTCCGCCTCCCAAAGTGTTGGAAATACAAGTGTGAGCCACTGTGCCCAGCCAAGGATAAACTTTAATATGCTACTGAAGATATACTTTGAAGACTCAACATCATAAAGATATCAATCATTTCTTCTCAAGTTAATTTGTAAGTTTATTGTGATTCTGGACTGCCATGGTAGCTCATGCCTGTAGTCCCACCACTTTGTGAGGCTGATGCAGGCAGACTGCTTGAGCTCAGGAGTTCAAGACCAGCCTGGGCAACATGGTAAAACTCTGTCTCTACAAAAAATACAAAAATTAAGCCAAGCACAGTGGTGCTCTCCTGTAGTCCCAGCTACTTGGGAGGCTGAGGTGGGGGTATTGCCTAAACCAGAGAAGTTGAGGCTACAGGATGCCCAGATCATGCCACTGTACTCCAGTCTAGGTAACAGAGCCAGACCCTGTCTCTAAATAGTTAAGAAGAAGTACAAGTTTATACTGATTAAGAATAAAGAACAACAAAAAACCACCTCATTGATTACCTTTGGAGGGTAATAGAAAACCAACTCATTATTTTGAAGACTGCCTTAAAAACGGAAATTATGAACATTTTAAATGGCCTATCCTGAGAAAGCTTGTAACCAAATAGCTGGACATGGTAACATTTCTCTTCCTTTTTTTTTTTTTAAAGAGTTTCACTCTTACTGCCCAGACTGGAACACAATGGTATGATCTCGGCTCACAGCAACCCTGCCTCCTGGGTCCAAGAGATTCTCCTGCCTCAGCCTCTTGAGTAGCTGGGATTACAGGCATGCACCACCACACCTGGCTAATTTTGTATTTTTAGTCGAGACAGGGTTTCTCCATGTTGGTCAGGCTGGTCTCGAACTCCTGACCTCAGGTGATCCACCACCTCAGCCTCCCAAAGTGCTAGGATTACCGGCGTGAGCCACAGTGCCAAGTGTTTCTTTATAAAAATATTCCAGGTAATAACTGAAGAAGGGATGAAAGAAAAAGAATGTCACCATTTTGCAACCCCCGAGGAAATAATGGATCTTGGGCTAGACAATTATCATCAATGGCTGCTTAAAAAGAAAAAAAAAAAAGTAAGATGCTAAAGGGAAATATTATTTCTTGGACAGATAAAACTTCTAAGAACTCACCGGTGTTCCTATCAGGAAAAAGACTAATTACACTATATGACTCCTCATGAAAGTACATACATCTGTGAAACATTGAAAAAAAATACAATCCAATCTTACCAAGCCTCCATTATCTACTATCAGTTTACAAAGATGGCAGAGGACAGAAGTCTACTTTAAATATCAGCACAGGGATATAGTCAGCAAAATTCAGATGGTGGGAAAAAATAAAAGATAAGCTGGAATGTACAAAGATATGAAGAGCACAAAAACTAGGGGGAAAACTAATTAAAACTATGAGAGCTGGGTACAGTGGCTCATGCCTGTAATCCTGGTACTTTGGGAGGCCAAGAAAGGGCAGACTGCTTGAGCTCAGGAATTCGAAACCCTGTCTCTACAGAAAATACACAAATTAGCCAGGTATGGTGGCATGCACCTTTAGTCCCAGCTACTTGGGAGGTTGAGGTGGGAGGATTACCTGAGCCCAAGAGGTTGAGACTGCACTGAGCTGAGATCATGCCACTGCACTCCAGCTTGGGTCACAGTTAAGACTCTGTCTCAAAAAACAAACGAAACCAAACCAAACCAAACCTATGACTTCGCTGGGTGCAGTGGCTCATGCCTAGTACTTTAGGATGCTGAGATGGAAAGATAACTTAAGCCCTGTAATCCTACTACTTTAGGAGGCTGAGATGGAAAGATAACTTAAGCCCGGAGTTTAGGATAAGCCTGGGCAAAAGGGCAAGACTCTGTCTCAAAAAAAAAAGAAGAAAGGAAAAAAAAGGGAAAGGGGGAGGGGGAGGGAAGAGCAGAGCAGCACAATGAAGAAAGAGCAGGCAAGGTGGCATGTGCCTGTAGTCATAGCTACTCAAGATGCTGAGGCAGCAGTGAGCTATGATTGCACTCCTGCACTCCAAGCCAGGGCAACAAAGCGAGACCCCATCTCAAAAACAAAAAACAAAACCAAAAACGACTTAAAGATACACACTAAAATGTTGGTGGATAAACTAATGAAATTGCATTTGCTTCAAAATAATCCAGTGGACATAGAGCTTAAGAGACAATGGGTAGAAATGAAACATGAGTGGCCTAGGTTATTAATGTCTCAATATTTGCATAATAAAGTTACCACAAAGCTGGGAGTGGTGGCTCACACCTGTAATCCCAGCATTTTGGGAGGCCAAGGCAGGCAGATCATTTGAGGTCAGGAGTCTAAGACCAGCCTGGCCAACATGGTGAAATCCTGTATCTATTAAAAATACGAAAGTTAGCCGGGCATGGTGGCACGCACCTGTAGTCCCAGCTACTTGAAAGAGAGAGGCAGGAGAGTTGCTTGAACCCCAGAGGCGGAGGTTGTAGTGAGTCAAGACTGTGCCACTGCACTCCAGCCTGGGTGACAGAGCAAGACTCCATTTCAAAACAGAACAAAACAAAACAGCTACCACAATATGAAACAATTTTAAAAAATGACTTCAACATATAAGCAAATCCAATTTGGAAGCCTGATTTGGACCCTAATTGAAACAAATTAATTATAAAAAGATTATATATTTTTAATTTATTTTATTTATTTTTTTGAGAGGGAGTCTTGTGCCCAGGCTGGAGTGCAGGGGCATGATCTCGGCTCAACTACAACTTCTACCTCCCAGGTTCAAGCAATTCTTTTGCCTTAGTCTGCCTAATAGCTTACAGGTGCCCACCACCAGGGCCAGTCAAGATATATTTTAAAGATCAGTGGGTTTTAAAAAAGCCAACTGATTTTTTTAGTAGTAAGTTAATTATAGAGTTCATATGGAAACATAAACAGAAAATTCAAGATTATCTGAAAAAAAAAAAAAAAAAATCAACAGTGGCAGTGAGTGTATGAGAAAGTAGTCCGATTAGTAGATTAGAGGAGCAGAGTGAAAAATCTAGACAGATTCAACCACAAATGGACATTTGGCATATGATTAAATGGCATTTCATATTAGTTTGTTCTCTGACCATAATGAAATTACATTAAAAATGAAAAATAGCCGAGCACAGCGGCTCACGCCTATAATGCCAGCACTTTGGGAGGCCCAAGGCAGGCGGATCACCTGAGGTCAGGAGTTTGAGACCAGCCTGACCAACATGGAGAAACCTCATCTCTATTAAAAAAAATGTAAAAAAAATAAATAAAATAAAAAATAAATACATTTGGCAATAACTCAAGTATTTGGAAATCAACAAACTTCTAAATAACTCATTGATCAAAAGAAGAAATCGTAAGATAGAAGATATTCTGAACTGAATAAAAATGGAAATATCTGCAGTTTGTGGAATACAGTTAAAACAATTAGAAATACGTAGCTTTAAATGCTTCTACTTGAAAATTTTTAAATCTATAACCAAAGCAGCCACTGTAAGAAATTAGAAAAAGAAGGGTAAATTAAATCCCAAGAAAGGAAATAATAAAGAGCAAAATTCACTAAAGGGGAAAAAGGAAAGTAATATAGAAAAATCAATGAAACCAAAATCTGGCCTTTCAAAAAGAACAATAATTAAATTTTTAACAAGGCAGAAAATAGGGAAGAAGACACAAATTAACAATACTTGAAATGAATACAGAACATCAAAGACCCTGCATACAATAAAATGATAAGGGAGTATTACGAACTCTATGTCACTGAGGTAAGTAAGATAAAATGGCCAGCATTAACTTGACACCAAAACCGTATGGAAAACATTACAAAGCAAAGAAAATTACAGACCGGTGTCTATCCACAATGAATATAGACAGAAGTCTCCTTAATATCAAATAAAACTCAGAAATACATAAAAAGGATACTATCCCATAATTAAGTAGGGTCCCAGGAATACAGAGCTGATTCAACATTCAAAAATCAATCAATGCAGTCCTTCAGAATAACAGAACACACACACATTCAAAAATCAATCAATGCAATCCTTCAAAATAACCACACACACACACACACACACATTTTAAATACAGGGTCTTTTTCTGTCACCCAGGCTGAAATACAGTGGTGCAACTCACTGCAGCTTTAAACTACTAGGCTCAAGCAATCCTTCTTCCTTAGCCTCTCAAGTAGCCAGGACTACAGGAGTGTGCCACCACACCCAGCGAAATTGTAAATTATTTTGTAGATACAGGGTTTTCCTATGTCGTCAAGGTTGGTCTTGAACTCCTGGCCTCAAGTCATCCTCCTGCCTTGGCCTCCCAAAGCTCTGAGGTTACAGGTGTGAGTCACTGTATCTGGTCAATATGATACACTTAATAGATCATGAAAAAGTATTTGAACATAATCCAACAACCATTGATGATTTAAAAGAAAACAAACCCACCTCTCTGCAAATTAGGAAATGAAGTAACACCTAACTCGGCTTAATAGTGAAAGACAATGTCTCACCTATTAGAATGGGGGCATGGCAAAATCTCATTACTTTTATTCAGTAATGCACCAGTACAATAAGGCAAAAACAAAAAGACCAACATGGTGATTAGATCATGACTGTATATATCTGAAAATTCTTAAAGGGCTGCCAGAAACAGTAAGTTTACCAACGGGTAAAGACACAAGGTCAATATTCAAAAATCAAGTGCATGTCTACCTACTAATAAACAAATGTTGAAATTTTTTTAAAATATCACTCACAACAGCATAAAACAGATGAAATATTAAGAAATAAATTTAACAAAGTAGGCACAAATTGACACAAAGAAAACTAGAAAACACTGGTGAAACTGAAGACTTAAATGGAGCAGGCTGGGTGCAATGGCTCACACCTGTAATTCCAGCAATTTGTCAGACCCAGGTGCACAGATCACCTAAGGTCAGGAGTTTGAGACCAGCCCGACCAACATGGAAAAATCCCATCTTTACCTAAAATATGAAAAATTAGCCAGGCATGGTGGTACATGCCTATAATCCCAGCTACTCAGCAGAATGAGGTAGCAGAATTGCTTGAACCGGAGAGATGGAGGTTGCGGTGAGCCATTGCACTCCAGCCTGAACAACAAGAATGAAACTCCATCTCCAAAAATAAAAATAAAAATAAATGAAGCAGCATATGATGACATCAATGAAGATTCCATATTGTTAACATATTTCCCCCAGAACTGATATAAAGACTCAGTGCACAATCCCAAGCTGATTCTAAAATTTATTTGGAAAGTCAAAGAACACAGAGTAAGAACAATTTTGAAGAGAATAAAACTGAGAGACTTATATGAACTGACTTTAAGATTGATTACAAAGTAACAGCAAAAAAGAGAGAATTGGCATAGGATATACACAAAGAATACAACAAAACAGTTTACAAATAGATGGCACATATACATATATACAGTCAACTGAATTCAATAAAGCTACTATGGCTGGGTGCAGTGGCTCACACCTGTAATCCCAGCACTTTGGGAGGCTGAGATGGGCAGATCACCTCAGGTCAGAAGTAGGAGACCAGCCTGGTCAACATGATGAAACTCCATCTCTACTTAAAAAAAAGGTGAGCTGAGATTACAATACAGCACTCCAGCATGGGTGACAAAATCGAGACTCTTGTCTCAAAAAGAAAAACGACAAAGCCACCAAGATCATTTACATAGGGAAAACAGAGGCTGGTGCCAGAGAAACCGAGTAAACATTTATAAGGGAAAAAATGAAGCCCAACCTTTACATCATATCCTATTCAAAAAAATCACAGACTGGGAGAAAATATTCACAATACCTTTAACTGAGAAAGGACTTGTAACCAGAATATATAAATAATTTAAAATAATTTACTACAACTTTACTACTTTTCATAGAAAGAAACATGATTTTTTTTTTGTTTTGGCGGGGAGGGTGACAGGGTCTGGCTCTATTGCCCAGGCTGGAGTGCAGTGGTGAAATTTCCGCTCACTGCAGCCTCAATCTCCCCACCATTGCCCCTCAAGCACCACCAACCTTGCTCTAGCGATTCTCCCACATCAGCCCCCAAGTAGCTGGGACCACAGGAATGTACTACCCTGCCTGGTGAATCTTCCTATTTTTTTTGCAGAGACAGGCTTTCGTCATGTTCCCCAGGCTAGCCTCAAACTCCTGGCTCAAATGATCCATCCACCTTGGCCTCCCAAAGTGCTAGAATTATAGGCATGAGCCACCGCAACCAGGCAGAAACATGTATTTAAAATGAAAAAAGGGCTAGGCATGGTGACTTATGCCAGTAATCCCAGCACTTTCAGAGGTTGAGGCAGATGGATCACCTGAGGTCAGGAGTTCGAGACCAGCCTGACCAACATGGTGAAACCCTGTTTCTCCTAAAAATACAAAATTAGCCAGGCGTGGTGGTGCATGCCTGTAAACCTAGCTACTTGGGAGGCTGAGGCAGGATAATCGCTTGAAACTGGGAGGCGGAGGTTGCAGTGAGCCAAGATTGCACCACTGCACTACAGCCTGGGCAACAGAATGAGATTCTGTCTCAAAATAATAATAATTAAAAAAAAGAAAGAAAGAAAAAAGATTTGAACAATTTACTAAAAAAAGGCTGACAGCCAAAAACACACCAACAAGGTGCTCCTGATCAGTCATATTTAGGGAAATGCAAATTTAAGATCACAATGAATACCATAAGATACCCATTAGACCTGCTGAAATTAAAAAGATAAGACATTACCAAGTGTTGGCAAGGATGTAGAATACTTGGAACTTGAATATGTAGCTGATCGGCTGGAATGTAAAATGACACAATCACTGTAGAAAAGTTTGCCAGCTTCTTATTAATTGAAATATATATCTACCAGGCTGGGTGTGGTGGCTGACACCTGTAATCCCAACACTTTGGGAGGCTGAGGCAGGTGGATCACTTGCAGTCAGGAGTTCGAGACCTGCCTGGCCAACATGGTGAAACCTCGTCTCTACTAAAAATACAAAAAAATTATCCAGACGTGGTGGTGCGCGGCTGTACTCCCAGCTACTTGGGAGGCTGAGGCGGAAGAACTGCTTGAACCCAGGAGGGGAGGTTGCCATGAGCTGAAATCACGCCACTGCACTCCAGCTTGGGCAACAGAGTGAGACTTTATCTCCAAAAATAATAATAAATAAAAAATAAATTTAAAAAAAAAAAAAAAAGAAATATGCACTTACCATACCTCAGCAATTCCAATTCTAGGTATTTAACTAAAAGAAATAAAAACACAAACACTTGTACACAAATGCTCACAGCAGCTTCATTCATAATAGCCAAAAGCTGGCATTAACTCAAATGTCCATTGACTAGTAATGGGTAAATTAACTGTGGTATAATCATAAAATGAAATGCTACCCCAGCAATAAAAAGGAATAAGCTGGCCGGGCACAGTGCATCACCCCTGTAATCCCAGCACTTTGGGAGGTGAAGGCAGGTAGATCATTTGAGATCAGGAGTTTGAGACCAGCCTGGCTAACATGGTGATACCCTACCTCTGCTTTAAAAAAAAAAAAAAAAATTTAGCTGGGCGTGGTGGTGTGCGCCTGTAATCCCAGCTACTTAGGAGGCTGAGGCAGGAGAACTGCAGACCAATTCTGGGAGACAGAATGAGACTCCATCTCAAAAACAAAAAGAAATAAGCTGATACTAACATGAAACTCAAATTACTACACTGTTTAGGACACACACACTAAATTATATATCAAACTTGTTTATATATATATTTGCAGCCTGGGACTGCTTTGAATGTGGACCAACACAAATTCACAAACTTTCTTAAAACACGAGGTTTTTTGTTTGTTTGTTTTGCTAATTAGCTATCATTAGTGTTAGTATATTTCATGTGTGGCACAAGACAATTCTTCCAACGTGGCTCACGGAAGCCAAGAGATTAAACACCCCTGTTATATACTGTTATGATTCCATTTATTTAAAAAAAAAAAAAAAATCTAAGGGCTGGCCGAGGTGGCTCACATCTGTAATCCAAGCATGCTGTGAGGCTGAGGCAGGAGGATCACTTGAGCTCAGGAGTTCGAGACCAGCCTGGGCAATATAATGAGAAGACATTATAAAAAAACTTTTTAAGTCAATAAAAAAATACCTAAGTCAAAACTAAAAAGAAATCTAGAGAGGATAAATCTAATCTATAGTAAAACAGAGCAGATCACTGGTTACCTGGAGCTAGCGGTAATAAAGTACAGTTTGACAGAGAAGAGGAACAGGCACAATGCTTTCCATCTTCACTGGTAAATCAAGTACTTACTAAATGAACAAATATATTTGTCAAAACTCATTAAAATGCAAACACAAAAAGGTATGCATTTTACTATATGTGAGGTACAGAGTAATAAAACTGGTTAAAACATTTTGGATAGTCATTTAGAACAAGATAAATTGGATTCACATTTTATAAATTCTAAAATTAGCCAGGCGTAACTGCACATGCCTGTAATTCCAGCTACTCAGGAGACTGAGGCAGGAGAATCACTTGAACCGGGGAAGTGGAGGTTGCAGTGAGCCAAGATTGCACCACCACACCCTGGCCTGGGCAACAGAGGAAGACTCTGTCTCAAAAAAAATAAAGAAAACAAAACTAAATATTCTAAACACAAAAGAGATTAAATTTTTTAAAAAAATTTATATACATGCTAGAAGAAAAAAGTAAATGAATCTTATAGGAAAAAAGAAAAAACTATAAATCATAGGCTGGACATGGTGGCATCGCTTGAGTCCAGGAGTTTGAGATCAGCCTGGGAAATACAGTGAGACTCTGTATTTATGAGAAAAAACAAAACAAAACTAGATGTGATAGCAAAGGCCTGTAGCCCTAGCTACACAAGAGGCTAAGGCAGGAGGACTATTTGAGGTCAAGGAGTTTGAGATCCTGACTCTTAAATAAATAAATAAATAAATAAAAACAGAAAAGCTGGGTGCGGTGGCTCACACCTGTAATCCCAGCACTTTGGGAGGCTAGTGTGGTGGATCACGAGGTCTGGAGTTCAAGACTAGTCTGGCCAAGATGCTGAAACTCTGTCTCTACTAAAAATACAAAAATTGGCCAGGCGTGGTGGCACGTGTCTATAATCCCAGCAACTTAGGAAGCTAAAGCAGGAGAATGGGTTGAACCCAGGAGGCAGAGGTTGCAATGAACCAAGATCGTGCCACTGCACTCCAGCCTGGGCGACAGAGCGAGGGTCCATCTCAAAAAAAAAAAAAAAACAAAAAACAAGTGTAAAACATAAAGAGAGAAAAGAAAGAATAAAAAAAAACTATACAACTTCTTCAAAAACACATAGGAAAAAGTCTCTCTACGCTCAAAGTTTGCAAAGGTAGGGGGAGGAGAAAGCACAAATCATACAAAAAAGGTTGGTAAAATAAACTCCAAACTTTATAATAACTTATGCTGTTTCGATGATACTTTATCCTTTTTTTTTTTTTTTTAAAGACAGGGTCTCACTATTGCTCAAGCTGAATTAGAACTCAGTCTCCCAAGTGGCTGGGATGAGAGATATGCACCATTGTACCCAGACAAACACACTCTTGTGAGAACATACAATGAAAGACATAAATTTGACAAAGGATCTGTATCCATCCATAGTTTTATTTTTTTTGTCAAGTCTTGCTCTGTCGCCAGGCTGTAGTACAGTGGTTCAGTCTTGGCTTACTGCAATCTTGACCTGGGTTCAAGTGATTCTCCTGCCTCAGCCTCCTAAGTAGCTGGGACTACAGGCACGAGCCACCATGCCCAGCTAATTTTTGTATTTTTAGTAGAGGCAGGGTTTCACTATGTTGGCCACATGGTTGCAATCTCTTGACCTGGCGATTCACCTGTCTTGGCCTCCCAAAGTGCTGGGATTACAGGCGTGTGTCATCGTGCGCCCAGCTTCTTTTTTTTTGAGGTGGAGTTTCACTCTTTTTGCCCAGGCTAGAGTGCATTGGTGTGATTTTGGCTTACCACAACCTCCACCTCCTGGGTTCAAGCAATTCTCCTGCCTCAGCCTCCAGAGTAGCTGGGATTATGGGCATGCACCACCACACTCGGCATGGTGACACAGGGTTTTACCATATTGGCCAGGATGGTCTTGTTCTCTTGACCTCGAGATCCACCCTCTTTGGCCTCCCAAAGTGCTGGGATTTACAGGCATGAGTCACTGCACATGGCGTCTAACCATACTTATAATTCAATAAGAAAATAACCTGGCTGGGCAGGGTGGCTCATGCCTATAATCCCAGCACTTTGGGAGTCCAAAGCAGGTGGATCACCTGAGGTTGGGAGCTCAAGACCCGCCTGACCAACATGGAGAAACCCCGTCTCAACTAAAAATACAAAAAATTAGCCAGGCATGGTGATGCATACCTATAATCCCAGCTACTTGAGTGACTGAGGCAGGAGAATCACTTGAACCTGGGAGGTAGAGGTTGCGGCGAGCCAAGATAGCGCCAGTGCACCCCAGCCTGGGCAACAAGAGTGAGGAGCCATTTCCTTAACCAACGGGTTTGCCACAACCCTGCTGAGGGTTCCCCAAGCAGGACTATAGGTCTGTTTGCTTCTTAAGGACAAGTATACAGAGTTGTCTTTTTTTTTTTGCAGATTATGAAACCCCTTGGGAGGAAGCTTTATTTTTAACAGTTCTCAAGGTGATTCTTACGCATGCTCAAGTTTGACAACCTCTGAACTAGTTTAAACACCTAAGGGGGAAAAAAAAAAAAAAAAAAAAAACCCAAGGTTCACAGTGGACTCCGAGTATGGCTCTGTCATTAGCTAGTTCTGTGGCTTTGAGAAAGTCCCTGATCCTCTCTGGGCCTTGATGTCCTCACACGTAATTGTGCGCACTCTGCTCTATCATCAAAGCCACCTCCACCTGCTTGAGTCAATGCTAAACTGAAAACTGAAAAATCAAATTAAAGAGGAAAGGGGAAGGGGGAAAGGACAGGGAAAGAAAAGAGCAGAACAGAACCAAGCAGAACCTAATAAAAGGAATGAGAATTATATTTGTACTCTCATATACAGTAATTTCTAAGACATGGTATTTAAAACAAAAGGAAGCAGAACAGTAAGTATTGTATGTTTGCTTCTGTGTATAACAGAAGAAAAATAAATGTCAACAAATGTAATTAAATTAAACAATTTAAAGGCTGGGTGTGGTGGCTGTAATCCCAGCACTCTGGGAGGCTGAGGCGGGCAGGTCACGAGGTCAGGGGTTTGAGACCATCCATCCTGACCAACATGGTGAAACCCTGTCCCTACTAAAAATACAAAAATTAGCCGAGCATAGTGTTGTGCATCTGTAATCTCAGCTACTCAGGAGGCTGAGGCAGGAGAATCACTTGAACCTGGGAGTTGGAGGTTGCAGTGAGCTGAGATCTCGCCACTGCACTTCAGCCTAGCCAACAGAGCAAGAGTCCGTCTCAAACAAACAAAAAAACAATGGAAGAGGAAAGAATAGTCTTTTCAACAAATGAGGTGGGGACAATGGATATGGATATCCACAAGCAAAAAAAACCCCAAAAAACAAAAAAATAACTTGGACCACAACTCTCATATCAAACACAAAAAAGTAATTTAAAAGAGATTGTAGACATAAATGTTAAAAGCTAAAATATAAAACTCATAGGAATTTTATAGGAGTTTCATAAGAGTAAATCTCTGGCCTTGAATGAAACAATGCTTTGTTTGATATGATACCAAAAGCACAAGCAACAGGAGAAAAAACAAACAGATAAACTGAATTTCACCAATATTAAAAACTCTTTTGTGTTACAAAGAACATTATCAAGCAAGTAAAAGGATAACCTATACGCCGGGCACAGTGGCTCACGTCTAAAATCTCAGCACTTTGGGAAGCTGAGGCAGGTGGATCATTTGAGGTCAGGAGTCCAAGACCAGCCTGGCCAACATGGTGAAACCCCGCCCCTACTAAAAATGCAAAAATGGGCCGGGTGCAGTGGTGCACGCTATAATTCCTGCTACTCTGGAGGCTGAGGCAGGGAGATCATTTGAGCTCAAGAGTTTGAGACCAGCCTGGGAAGCATGGAGAAGCCCTGTTTCTACAAAAAATACAAAAATTAGACCAGTATGGTGGTGTATGCCTGTAGTCCCAGCTACTTGGCAGGGTGAGACAGGAGAATTACCTGAACCCAGGAAGCGAAGACTGCAGTGAGCCAAGATTGTGCCCCTGCACTCCAGCTTGGGTGACAGATAGGGCAAGACTCCTCCATCTCAAAACATAACAAAAACCAAAAAACCACAATGACACTTTATAACCCCTAGAATGGACATAAATAACCCAAGCAAAGACAGTATCAATTATTTATAAGGATGTGCATAAAGTGGAACTCTTGTATATTACTGGCAGAAATACAAAATGATGCAGCTGCTTTGGAAAAGTTTGGCAGTTCTAGCACAGCGATTCCACTTCAGGAGAAATGAAAACCTAAGGCCATGTGGGGGGGGGATTATTTATTTATTTATTTATTTATGTTGAGACAGAGTCTTGCTCTGCTACCTAGGCTGGAGTGCAGTGGTGTGATCTCAGCTCACTGTAACCTCCGCCTCCCAGATTCAAGCGATTCTGATGCTCCTGCCTCAGCCTCCTGAGTAGCTGGGATTACAGGCACATGCTATCATGCCAGGCTAATTTTTGTATTTTTAGTAGAGACAGGGTTTCACCATGTTGGCCAGGTTGGTGATCTGCCCATCGCGGCCTCCCAGAGTGTTGGGATTATAGGCATGAACTCTGCTCCCAGCCTTCTATGAAAATTTGTATATGAATGGCCACAGCAGTATTACTCATTGCCAGAAAAAGGAAATAACCCAAATGTTCATCAACTGATAGATAAAAGTAGTATATTCAGGCCAGGGGCAGTGACTCACGCCTGTAATCCCATCACTTTGGGAGGCTGAGGCAGGTGGATCACTTGAAGCCATGAGTTTAAGACCAGCCTGGACAATATGGTAAAGCCCCTTCTTTACTATTAATAAAAATACAAAAATTATCTGGGCACAGTGGTACATGCCTGTAATCCCAGTTAACAGGGAAGCTAAAGCAGGAGAATCACTTGAACCTAGGAGGTAGATGTTGCAGTGAGCCAAGATCCCGCTACTGCACTCCAGACTGGGGTGACAGAGCAAGACACTGTCTCAAAAAAAAAAAAAAAAAGGTTAAAAAAATGTTTTTTGTTTTGTTTGTTTTTACAGTGTTAGGCAGGGTGTGGTGATTCACATTTGTAATTCCAGCACTTTGGGAAGTCTGGGCAGGCGGACTGACTGAGGAAAGGGCTTCAAGACCAGCCTGACCAACATGGTGAAACTCTGTCTCTACTAAAAATACAAAACTGTGGTTAGCTGGTGGTGGCAGGCACCTGTAATCCCAGCTACTCAGGAGTCTAAGGCAGGAGAATCGCTTGAACCCAGGAGGCAAAGGTTGCAGTGAGCTGAGATCACATCATTGCACTCTAGCCTGAGTGACAAGAGGGAAACTCTGTCTCAAAAAATAATAATATTAGCAATAACAAAAACTTAGCCTGGCATAGTGGTAGACACCTGTAATCGTAGCTACCTGGGAGACTGGGACACAATTGCTTGAACCTGGGTGGTGGACATATTAGGTGAAGCAGTTATGAGAACATACTAGGTGAATGAAGCCAGTCACAAAAGGCTACACATAACATGATATATTATGATGAATTAACAGGCAAATCTGTAGAGAAAGAAAATAAGACTAGTATGCCTAGGCTGTATGGAGGAGGAGGAAAGAGGGGAACAGAGGGAAGTTAACTGCTAAAGGGTACAGTTTCTTTTGGGGGTGATTCAAAGGTTCTAAAGTTGATTGTGGTGATGACTACACAACTCTAAGAATATACTAAAAACCATGAAACAGTATCCTTTAAATGGGTAAATTTTATGGTATGTGAATAATGTCTAAATAAAGCTATTTTTGCCGGGCGCGGTGGCTCGAGCCTATAATCCCAGCACTTTGGGAGGCCGAGGCGGGTGGATCACGAGGTCAAGAGATCGAGACCATCCTGGTCAACATGATGAAACCCCGTCTCTACTAAAAATACAAAATATCAGCTGGGCATGGTGGCGCGTGCCTGTAGTCTCAGCTACTCAGGAGGCTGAGGCAGGAGAATTGCCTGAACCCAGGAGGCGGAGGTTGCGGTGAGCCGAGATCGCGCCATTGCACTCCAGCCTGGGTAACAAGAGCGAAACTCTGTCCCCAAAAAAAAATAAAAATAAAAAATAAAGCTATTTTTTAAAAAATAAACAAATGTATATGTGCAAAACTAAACACTGTAAGGATAAATTTAAAAATTTTAATGATCCCCTACTGATGATGGAGGGGATGAATGAAGATACAAGTAGACAAGACTGGGATATAAGCAAGACTTCTCTGAATGCATCTTTCTTTTTTGATATAGGGTCTTGCTCTGCTGCTCAGGTTGGAGTGCAGTGGCACAATCACAGTTCACTGCAGTCTCAACCTCAACCTGCAGCTAAAGTGATCCTCCACCTCAGCCTCCTAATTAACTGGGACTATAGTTACATGCCACCATGCTCAGCCAATTTTTTAACTTTTTTGTAGAGATGGGGTTTTGCTATGTTTTCCAGGCTAATCTCAAACTCCTGGGCTCAAAAATCCTCCCAATTCATCAGCCTCCCAAAATGTTAGGATTACAGGCATGCACCATTGATCCCAGCCTTCACAAATGGCATTTTTTATTTAAAAAGTCATTTTCACTTTAAAAGCATACAAATAATTTGCAGACAAAAATAAATAGCTTATCTAAATATGAAAAACAAACTCAACTGGATTAACCTACCTATTTATCACACTGTTGACATAACACTTAGCAACTTTAGAAGATAGTACTATGGAATTAACAAGGATGACACACTCTAAAAACTGGCATTTAAAGAATTACTGCAACAGATACTGAGAAAAAGTAATACTCCAAAGGTATCTCAAAACTTATTCTGTAGTATAACAATTAGAAAACTATTTTGAAGATACTATATATGCTCTGTATGAAAATGTAAATAAGCAGATCTCTAAGATGGTCCTCAATGATCTAACTCCTGTTGAGTCCCCTCCCACACTGTATACTAGGATGGCTCAGTAAGACCAATAGTTTAGAACATCATGCCACTTCCAAGAGTAGTTTGTAAAACATGCTGCAGCTTCTGTTTGGGACAGTTTCTCTGAACTATGCATTTTGGGAGAAGCCACCTGCCATGTCGTGATGAGGGCTGTGGAGAAACCCATGTGGCAAGGAAACTAATGAAATAAGGAAGCTTCCCACCAATAGCTTCAAAGTTGAACGCACATCCTCCAGCCCCAGTTAAGCCTTTGGATAACTGCAATCCTAGCCAACATTGTGTCTACAACTTCATACAAGACTATGGGGAAGAAACCACTCAGCTAAAATTTCTGACCCTCAGAAACTGTTTGAAACAAGAAATGTGTGTTTCACTAGCTAAGCTTTGTGATAAATTGTTATGCAACATTATAGTAGTTACTATTTTTAGTAACCAAAGTTTCAGTGTAAAATAATAAGAGATAAGCATAAAATGATAGTAAAAAGTAAAATCTTACAATGTTAAATTTAATTGAAAATATTAAATTTCCAATTTTTAAAAGTGATATTTATTTATTTATTTATTTTTGAGATGGAGTCTCACTCTATTGACAAGAACTGGAATGCAGTGGTGCAACCTTGGCTCACTGCAACCTCCACTTCCTGGGTTCAAGTGATTCTCCTGCCTCAGCCTCCCAAGTGGCTGGAACCACAGGCATGCACCACTGCACCCAGCTAATTTTGGTATTTTTAGTAGAGACAGGGTTTCACCATGTTGGCCAGGATGGCCAGTCTCAAACTCCTGACCTCAAGTGATCCACCCACCTCAGCCTCCCAAAGTGCTGAGATTATAGGTGTTAGTCACTGCACCTGGCCTAAAGTGTTATTTCCTAATTTAGTCTAGAAAAGGCCTATAAGCAATACTGTAACAGTAATTAGTGCCAATGATCAGGTAATGATTTCTAAATACTATTTCCCAGCAAAAGGCAATCAGGGTTCCTTGGAGGAATAGCTAATCAAGGCAAAAAAGTTTTGCAGGAGCCAACTTGCAGGGGTTCCCACTCATCAAAGATGGTACAATCAGAGTAACAAAAAGAATACGTGATACAATTAATATGTAAAAATCCATGCATTCCTAATACTTTTTAAAGCAAAAAGAATAAATGAATAAATAATAATATTGGGAGAGGATACAGCCTTTCTTTTTTATTTTATTTTTTGAGACGGAGTTTTGCTTTTTTTGCCCAGGCTGGAGTGCAATGGCGTGATCTCGGCTCATGGCAACCTCTGCCTCCCCGAGTTCAAGCGATTCTCCTGTCTCAGCCTTCAGAGTAGCTGGGATTACAGGAGTGCACCAGCATGCCCAGCTAACTTTGTATTTTTAGTAGAGACGGGGTTTCTCCATGATGGTCAGGCTGGTCTCAAACTCCCAACCTCAGGTGATCCGCCTGCCTTGGCCTCCCAAAGTGCTGGGATTATAGGCATGAGCCACCGTGCCCGCCCAACACATCCTTAAAAAGAAAAAAAAAAAAAGCAAAACTTTTTGGGCACTAAAGTTTGGGAAGTAGCAAGGGCACCAACTCCTCACTTTGAAAATTGAAAAGAGCTGGGCACGGTGGCTCACGCCTGTTAATCCCAGCACTTTGGGAGGCCGAGGCGGGTGGATCACAAGGTCAAGAGATCGAGACCATCCTGGTCAACATGGTGAAACCCTGTCTCTACTAAAAATGCAAAACATTAGCTGGGCATGGTGGTGCGTGCCTGTAATCCCAGCTACTCAGGAGGCTGAGGCAGAATTGCCTGAACCCAGGAGGTGGAGGTTGTAGTGAGCCAAGATCGCGCCATTGCACTCCAGCCTGGGTAACGTCTCAAAAAAAAAAAAAAAAAAAAAAAAATTGAAAAGAATTAAGAATTTTTCCTTTCTTGTACAAACTATTTTAGGATAACCAAAAAATCCTACTTGAAAATAATAGTCCTTTACAGAATGATTCCAGCTAATGAACAGAGAAGAAATGCTAGGAATTCAGAAATCACCCTTTACAAACCCTAAATTGCAGTGGTTTTCAGTGCATAGCCCTAGACTAGCAGCATTACTTGGGAGCTGGTTTCATAAACTGCAATAGAAATGCAAATTCTCAGGCTATGCCCCAAATCTACTGAATTAGAAAATCTGGAGATGGGATAAAGCAATCTGTGTGTTCAGCAAGCTCTCCCCAAGGGTTTCTATTGCACACCAAAATTTGAGAACCATAGCCCTAAAGTAAAAAATGATGTTAAGCATTAAATCAATAATGAATTACATAAATGATCAACAGAAAACTTTACAATGGGGAGGTGGCAGGGGAGGGGAGCAAGGTATTACCACTTGAGCACTTAATCAATCATACAATAATTAAAAGCAGGAAGATACTGTGTGCCTGCTGACATATGATACAAAAGCACACTGTACCATTTAGTATTTGTCCACCCCCAACCCCTGCGACCCAAACTGAACCCAGATGTAATCAATGACATCCCAAGAAGAAAACAGAAAAACAGAATGCATGACATACCACAAAACCGGCTTCTGAGACAAAGTAACAATGGGGGAAAAGGCAGGGGAACTACAAAGAGATACAATACACAATAAATGTAATAATGTATAGATCTATATTCATAACAAACCATCTGCAAGAATATATTCTTGACTCAATTAGGGTGATTTAACTATGTGTGGTTACTACTGAATCACTATTTATTTTATAAAATGTGATAACAGCACTATGGCTACCTAAGAAAAATTCCTATTTTAAAAAAGATACACATCAAGGATGTAGGAATTAAATGACATGATGTCTGAGGTTTTAAATACTTCAACAAGGAAAAAAAGTACATATGAAGTCTATATGGCAAAATCTTCATAATCATAGAATCTGAATGATGTGATAAAGCAAATACCCTACTCACTTCCTAAATTCTTAGCACAGCACATGTTCACAGCCGATATTCTTGACTGTGCATTGGTTCTGTCCATCAGAAACGCCTCAGTAGCCGGGCGAGGAGGCTCACACCTATAATCCCAGCCCTTTGGGAGCCAAGGCAGGTAGATCATGAGGTCAGGAGTTCAAGACCAGCCTGGTAAGGATGGTGAAACTCCATCTCTGCTAAAAATACAAAAACTAGCCGGGCATGGTGGTGGATGCCTATAATCCTAGCTACTTGGGAGGCTGAGGCAGAGAACTGCTTGAACATGGGAGTCAGAGGTTGCAGCGAGCCAAGATGGCACCACTGCACTCCAGCCTGGGCAACAAGAGAGAAACTCCATCTCAAAAAAAAGAAAAGAAAACATCAAGAAATGCCTCAGTAGAACTTGTTAACTGGTTAAGATATCCTGCGTATATCATTTCTATTAAAATGACTGTACCTCCTAAAATTAGAATGTAACTTTCCCATCAGAGAACCAAACTTTCATGCTTATTCTTACTGCAGTAATCTTTTATATTTTAACAACAAAAAGTTCCCATTGTACAGTTTTAAGTAATCATTGAAAATAGCAACACCTGCTAGTGATACATGAAAACCTTAATGTTACACTAAAATGGCACTTTATCCTGAAACAAAATATAGAAGCATTTGTGTAACAGAAAAAATAAATAAATAAAATAAAATGGCACTTTAAAAAACCCATTTTCTTCCTGGAATTTTTACAGTCCCTCAAAATAAGATTAAACTATATAATTTGATTACATTCTTTCAGGCAGAGTTCTTTCAACAGGTTCGAGTGTTCTAAGGCTAAAAAAGGAACACCATACTGAGAAAACTAAAATTAAGAGTTTTAGTTAACATTCATGAAATCACGATTACGTCAAACATTGAAAAATCCGCTGAGCACGGGTATTTTGGGAAGCTGAGGCAGGCAGATTGTTTGAGCCCAGGAGTTTGAGACCAGCCTGGGCAACATGGCAAAACCGATCTCTGCAAAAAATACAAAAATTAGCTAGGTGTAATAGTGTGCACCTGGAGTCCCAGCTATTCAGGGGACTGAGACGGGAGGGTCACTTGAGTCCAGGAGGTTGAGGCTGCACTGAACCATGATAGCAGCACTAAACCACAGCCTCAGCAACAAAGTGAGACCCTATCTCACAAAAACAAACACACACACATACACACATTGTGGATATCTTATTAATTCAGGAAAAATAAAAACTTTATGTCAGAAAGGTAATTGCACTGAGAAATGTCTTTTCTGTATAAATTATTCTACTTTCTATGGTTTCTCAACTGATAGCAATTAATCACTCTAAATTAGCTGGTGGGCAAAAAAGGAATCCTTTAGCATTTTCCAACATTAAAGAACTCTTTTTTTCTTGGACAGAGTCTCGCTCTGTCATCCAGGCACACATCATCACACCTGGCTGATTTTTGTATTTTCACTAGAGACAGGGTTTCACCGTATTGGCCAGGATGGTCTCGAACTCCTGACCTCAAGTAATCCACCCACCTCGGCTTCCCAAAGTGATGGGCTTACAGGTGTGTGCTATCATGCCTGGCCAAAAGATTTTTTTTTTTTTTTTCTTTTTAAGAAAAATGTAGGATTTTTTTTCTACAAAGGCTCTTTAACCACACAAGCATAGAATACTAGTTTATGCAATTAGATTATACAACAACTCCCTCATTTTAATGCAGAAACATCTATCTTTTTTTTCTTTTCAAGGCAGGGTTTAGCTTTGTCACCCAGCCTGGAGCCCAGTGGTGCAGTCACAGTTCCCTGCAGCCTGGACCTTCTGGATTCAACTGATCCTCTCACCTCAGTCTTCCAAGTAGCTAGGACTACAGGAGCACACCACGACAGCTGGCTAAGTTTTCTACTTTTTTTTGTAAAGATGGGTTTTTGCCATGTTGCTCAGGCTGGTCTCCAATTCCTGGCTCAAGCGATCCACCCATCTTGGCCTCTCAAAGTGCTAGAATTTCAGGCATGAGCCACCAAGCCTGGCCAAAACATCCTTCTAACAGGATTTTAACATTTGCCTCTCTGCTTCAAAAGAAATTCTAGCTTTGGGGAAATAATTGTAGGTATATATAAAGCAAAGTTACCAATCTAGTAAATTAATCTAGCAAACCCTCCTTTTCAAATTTAAGTTCAGACTTAGATTTCAGATTTAAAACTTTAGAATTACTTCTTTTTTTTTTTGAGCTAGGATCTGCTAGCTCAAAAGAAATCACGAGCTCAAGAAATCCTTCAGCTGGGATTTCAGGCATGGAGCCACTGCATCCAGCCAATTAGTCTGGTTTTTTTTTTGTTTGTTTTTGAGATAGAGTCTCATTCTGTTGTCCGGGCTAGAGTGCAGTGGCATAATCTCCTGCTCGCTGCAACCTCCACCTCCCGGGTTAAAGCAATTCTCCTGCCTCAGCCCCGCCTAGTAGCTGGGATTACAGGCACGTGCCACCACACCTGGCTAATTTTTCTATTTTTAGTAAAGATGGGGTTTTGCCATGTTGGCCAAGCTGGTCTCAACCTCCTGACCTCAGGTGATCCACCCATCTCGGCCTCCCAAAGTGCTGAGATTAGAGGCATGAGCCACTGCACCCAGCTGTTATTTATTTTTGAGACAGGGTCTCACTCTGTCACCCAGGCTGTAGGGCAAAGGCAAATCACAGCTCACTACAGCCTCTACTTCCTAGCCTCAAGCTAACTTCTCGCCCCAGTCCTCCAAACTGCTGGGGTTACAAGCATATGTCACCACGCCCAGCTAATTTTTTTGAATTTTAGTAGAGATAAGATCTCTGTCGTCCAAGCTGATCATGAACTCCTGAGCTCAACCAATCCTCCTGCCTCGGTCTCCTAAAGTGCTGGGATTACAGGTGTGAGCCATTGCACCCGGTCTCCAATTACTCTTTTTGAAGAGGATACTAAACAATCACAACTAATGGGCATTTCTCCTTCCATTTCTGTTCATAAAATCCATGTGAATATCTATGTAATGTTGGTCATCAAAAGTCAATGTATAGCCTCATCAACAAGTCAAAGCTAAATTACAACTATTTATTCATTATAAACTGAGTTATTCAATTTATGCAGCATGCAGACTAATAAGCAAACACAGGCAGGATTATTCTCACCTTTACCTGCTCTATATGTCTTGGCTTGATTCACTGGCATGGGCGTCATGGGTATTGGGTATAAAGGCTTGAGAGAATTAAAAAAAATATATTAATATTAGGCTCCTATGATAATAAGAAGGTATTCTATCACTCTTAGTTTTATATTGCTAGAGAGCTAGGCATGAGGTTTCCTATTAGTCATTAAAAAAATAAGATCATACCCACAGCTAAAAGGAATAAACCCCAAACTACAATAAATCTAAACCACCTTTTTCACTAGAAAACATTCTCAGATTTAGGTCCTTATACCTAACAACACACTGAACCTCTGCATGCCTCTCTGTTTAAAATGCATACACATACCAACACAACATCAAGTCACTGAAAACCTAAGAGTGCTTGGTGTCAGATACAAGCAATGAGGGAAGCTAAGTGTACATCAAATTCTATGACTTACTTGCACGCCTGGGCTCACTGGGACTGGATACATCATATTTGGTGCAAAACAAACAGGCTGAGTATAAACTGGAGTTGGCTGTTGATGACCCACCATAGATGGGCTAGGTTGTGCTTGAGGCCGAGGTGAAGTTGGGGTAGTAGAAGGCTTTGGCTACAAAAACAACAATAAATTCAATTATTTCAAGGTAACAAATGAACTATTATTGAAATTTAAAGACTGATTTTTCCAATCTTTCTAGTTTCAGTTGCTTTAACTAATCCATTTTATTGAAAACAAAAACAACACAGCAAACAAATTTTCATATTTCAATGAAAGAGAAAAATGTTACAGTAGAAATTTTAAAAGCTCTGCCAATTGAAAAATAATATAAAAACAGTGGTAGTGCCGGGCGCGGTGGCTCAAGCCTGTAATCCCAGCACTGTGGGAGGCCGAGGCGGGTGGATCATGAGGTCAAGAGATGGAGACCAGCCTGGTCAACATGGTGAAACCCCGTCTCTACTAAAAATACAAAAAATTAGCTGGGCATGGTGGCGCGTGCCTGTAATCCCAGCTACTCAGGAGGCTGGGGCAGGAGAATTGCCTGAACCCAGGAGGCAGAGGTTGCGGTGAGCCGAGATCGCGCCATTGCACTCCAGCCTGGGTAACAAGAGCGAAACTCCGTCTCAAAAAAAAAAAAAAAAAACAGTGGTAGTAATTTTTAAGAAACTCAAGTATTTTTAAAAATTATTATTTCTTCTTATGATCTCAGTAGAATAACAGCACAGTCATCTCTTGTTATCTGTGGGGTACTGGTTACAGTACCCTGCTAAGATATCAAAGTCTTGGAATGGTCAAGTGCCTTATATAAAATGGTGTAGTATTTGTATTGTACCTATGCATCACCTCCTGTATACTTTACATCATCTCTTGATTACTTATAATACCTAAAACAAGGTAAATACTTTATTGTTTTGGAAATAACGACAAGAAAAAGTCTGCACATGTTCAATACAGATTAGCCTAACTATATTTTTGATCCATGGTTGGTTGAATCCAAGGATGCAAAACCGTCATATGCAGAGGCCCCATCTATAAACCTGATAGCCTAGTTAGCCAACCATCGCCAAATTCTTGGTCAGAAAAAATTCAAAGATTTGCCCAAGATCACGTCTAATTGATGGCAAAACAAAGACCCCTTTTTATGTCTAAAAACTATTCATTAATGGCCATGTAAGAAAAATAAAGAAGGTTGTTTTGGCATACTAAAACTAAATTTAGATGACAGGTATGGAAGAAGGACTATTACTAATAATTTTTATTTTTTTGAGTCTAGATAACCTCAAAGAAAGTAATAAACCTACCTGAGAGAAGGAACGTGGGTTGAACTCCTTTGCATTCGGATTCAATGTTGACTTTCGAACTTGCCTAAAAAAAATACAAAGGCCAGTGAAATCTACACGGACTTTACGTTGCTCTAAAATCTTCCATATCAGACCATTTTTTAAAAACTGCTAAACATAGATTTAAACTGTTCTCACTAGATCAATAGCCCTCTTTACTGACACACATACTTATATTGCCCATTCCTTAATCTCTTAAAGAATATAGCCATAAAAGAACAATTTATTTAAAATCTAAGTAATATACAACTGCTCTTCTCAAAGACAATAAAAAAATACTTTTTTCTTTCTCTTCACAGAGTCTCACTCTGTTGTGCAGGCTGAAGTGCAGCGGTGCGATCCTGGCTCACTGCAACCTCTACCTCTGGTTCAAGCTATTCTCCTGCCTTAGCCTCTTGAATAGGTGGGATTACAGGCACGAACCACTATGGCCAGCTACTTTTGTATTTTTAGTAGAGATGGGGTTTCACCATGTTGGCCAGGATGGTCTTGATCTCTTGACTTTGTGATCCCTCCCTTACCCTCCCAAAGTACTGGGATTACAGGTGTGAGACACCGCTCCCAGCCTATATATATATTTGTATTTTTAGTAGAGATGGGGTTTCACTGTTTTGCCCAGGCTGGTCTTAAACTCCTGACCTCAGGTGAACTGCCAGACTCAGCCTCCCAAAGCGCTGGGATTACAGGCATGAGCCACCGTGCCAGGCCGATCAACAAACACTTAAACTGAAAAGACAGTAAATACTTATAAAATATCCTTAAAGGCAATTCTTAACATACTAATATCTTTTTTTTTTTTTTTTTTTTTTTTTGAGACAGTCTCACTCAGTCACCCAGGCTGTAGTGCAGTGGTGCAATCTTGGGTCACTGAGGTACAATCTTGGGTCACTGAGATCTCTGTCTCCTGGGTTTAAGCAATTCTCCTGCCTCAGCCTCCCAAGTAGCTGGGATTACAGGCACCCACCACCTTGCCTGGCTAATTTTTGTAATTTTAGTAGAGACAGGGTTTCACCATGTTGGCCAGGCTGGTCTTCAACTCCTGACCTCAGATAATCTGCCTGCTTCTGCCTCCCACAGTTCTGGGATTATAGGTATGAGCCACCATGCCCGGTCAACATACCAATATTCTAGTATGCAGCATTTTTTATGTGAGAAGATATTTTCTACATAACATGCCTGGAGAAAATCATGGCTCTAAAAAAACTTTGCCTCAAATCAAGAATAAGCAGTCCCCAATTTATCAATGAGCTGCATTCCAAAACTTCAGCTTTAACTGGGTTGTCTGGTACCCAGAACACCTAAGTTAATAGTAGTTAAGTTCTGAGGTTAGCCCTTAAAAGTCCATTTAACTAAAAATATACTGAATATACAGAATTAAGTCTATCTTAACAAATCTAAACATTAACTAAAACACTGTTTCTGATGAAAAATATTTTGAATTCCAAGTAGGAGCACTGCATGCTTCTCTCCTTGGCAGTGGCAGTTTTTCATCCCAGCAGCACAGTGGGGGTGACTAATGAGTGGAATCCATTTAAGAGAGGTCCCCTAAATTGGTAATTTTTCAGCTCCAGTTCATTTACAGAAAAATTTTTCTTAATTTATGCCTTGTTTTTCTGTTCTGGAGTGCAAAAAAAGGGGGAGAACAGAAGAGTAGCACAGGGTGTAATAACCTAATTTACTTAAGATGTTACTCGTTTGGACTAGCTGTTTGTAAATTAAGGGCAATGTATAAAGCAGTCTAAAAGTCCAGATCAATTCTTCAGCTGGAAAGACCTAAACACATTTAAAAAAAAGTTAATTAACAGGATGGTCTAAGTTCCAGGTTTACTCACTCAGCTGCGTCTTTCTTCTCTTCCTTATCATCTTTCTCTTGTTTACAAGCTGGACTGGAAGTCTGAACCCCTTGGGAAGTGACCTCAGGTCCCCTCTTGTGCTCCGTGTTACTAAGTATTGAAGGGGAAATGCTGGGGCTATTCGGCTTGCTGCTGCCACTGGTACAGTTGCTGCTGCTATTTTCACTGAAAGAATCCTTAGCATTTGGTTCAATTTTGTCTTTGATCAAATCTCTTGGTTTTTCTCCCTCTCTATTTTTGTTTAGTAGTTGATCCATAGATTCAGAAGTAGAACTTGGCTGTAACTAAATAAAGGAAATAATTTTAAATATCTTAAATCACTTTAGTAATTCATTTTTGCCATGAGCATAAGCAAAGTAATATTAACTATACACATGAAATGTTCTGAATAATGTTTTCATACTTTAATGCTTTTACTACAAAGCAACAAAACAGAATACCTATATAGCACAACCACAGTCACCAAAGCACTCAAATGTCCTAGCCTCTTAAGTTCAGTATTTACTGAGTGCCTACCACATGTCAGAAATTGTGCCTGCTGGGTGAGAAAGACATGACATAGTTTCTAGCCTCCTATACTTGTCAAGTGAGTAAGATCAGACACTTCACAACAAAATGAGTAAATGCTAAGAGATTCTATAGAAAAAGCAACCTATAAAAAAGAAAGTTTTCTTAATGGAAACATCTGCTAGTCTAAGGTATGAAAGAAGTTTAGGAGAGGTGTTTTGGATGGAAAATAATCTAAGTTAAAAAAAAAAAAAAAAGAGTATGTTTAAAAATCCAAAGAAAAGAGAGAAGATGGCTCTAATCACATAAAAGACAAGCACCAGTGGGCTGGGCGTAGTGGCTCATGACCTATAATCTCGGTACTGTGGGAAACTGAGGCAGGCGGATTGTTTGAGCTCAGGAGTTCAGGACCAGCCTGGGCAACACAGTGATACCCTGTCTCATTAAAGTAATAATAACAATAATAAAAGAGAAAGTATTAAAGAAAAGCACCAATGGCTGGACCAAGTGTGGAACATACATGTACAAATGAGTCAGAAAATGACAGACTCGCCAAAAGAAATGTGACAATAAAGGAACTTAAAAGCTATGTTCAGGACTGGATGCAGTAGCTAAAACCTATAATCCTAGCACTTTCTGCTGAGGTGGGCAGATCACTTGAGGTCAGGAGTTTGAGACCAGGCTGGCCAATGTGGCAAAACCCAGTCTCTACTAAAAATTAAAAAAAAAAATTAGCCAGGCATGGTGATGTACACGTGTAATCATAGCTACTCAGGAGGCTAACATATGAGAGTCACTTGAACCCAGGAGGCGGAGGTTACAGTGAACGAAGATCACACCACTACACTCCAGCCTGGGCGACAGAGCAAGACTCTATCAACAAATAAAAAAAAATTTTTAAAAAGCTATGTTTAAGACTTTGGCTTTTAATTCTCAGGACAAACGGGAACTCAGTGAGAAATTTTAAGTAGGGTAGAGTACTGAGCAGATTTATAGTTCAGAAAGATGAACACAGCAGCTTTGTGCAAAATGAACTGGAGAGGGGCAAGTGAGGATACGGAGGGACCATCGTGGAGACTGGACTAAGCCCTGGGCCTAGTGGGCTTAAAAGGTCAGAAGTAGATGAATTCTGAGTGAGACCTGACTGGACATATTGGTCAGTTACACATTCTAAATCCGTAAGTAAAAAAAGGAGACTGCAGGGGAGAGGAGACAGAGCATGGTGGCCAAACAGAACCTTCTGGTGATCATCCCCCCAAGAAACATCAAATTTAACAACTATCCACACAAGAAAGCACCTTCATAAGAACCAAAAATTAGGTGAGTGATCACAGTACCTGGTTTTGACATCATATCAAGGAAAAAGGCACTGAAGATAAGGAAGGTAGTTGTGAACCGCCCCCTACACAGCCCTGCCATTCCCCCACAGTGCAGTGTGGGGCAAAGAAAGAATTCTACTTGGGGGAGAGACAGCAAAATGACTGTGGGATTTTGCATTGAAAGTCAGTGCTGCCCTGTCGCAGTGGAAAAAATTCAGCTGGCACCCACAAAGAGAGTATTTAGACTAGCCCTAGTCAGAGGGGAACTGTCCATCTCAGTGATTAGAATCTGAATTTTGGCATGCCCCGCCATGATGGGTAAAGTGCTCTGGGGTCCTAAATAAACTTGAAAGGCAGTGTAGGCAACAAGGACTGCAATTCCTGGACAAGTCATGGTGCTGTGCTGGGCTCAGAGCCAGTAGACTTGGGGTACATGTGACCCACTGAGAAAACAGCTAGGGTGGCTAAAGGAATGCTTGTGGCAGCCTTCCCTGAACTCCAGGTAGCGCAGCTCACAGCTCTTGGAGGAGAGAAATGAGTAGGGAGGGCTTTGTCTTGCAATCTGGATACTAGTTCAGTCACAGTAAAATAAGGCACCAAGCACAGTCCAGAAGCCTTGACTCTAGGCCACAGCTCCCAGATGACATTTCTAGACAAATCCCAGGCCAGAAGGGAACCCATTGCCTTGAAGGGCCAATTCCTGGTAGAATTCACCACCAGCTGACTAAAGAGCCCTTGTGCCTTGAATAAAAAGCAAGGAGCCATGTCATATTGTGCCAGCTTCAGGTGTGACCCAGCACATTCCCAGCTGTGGTGGCCATGGGGAGACACTCCTTGAAGGGAGAGAAAAGTTAAAAAGGTTTTATCTTGCAAGTGGGTGCCAGCTAATCCCTGGTGAAATAAAGCATCAGATTCCTAAAGCTCCTGATCCCAGGCCCTGGCTCCTGGACGGCATTTCTAGACATACCCTGGGCCAGAAGGGAACCTGCTGCACTAAAAGCAAAGATCCAGTCCTGGCAGGATTCTTCACCTGCTGACTAAAGCACCCTTGAGCCTTGAATTAACATCAACGGTAGCCAGAAAACAGCTGCCACAGGCCTTGGGTGAGACCTAGTACAGTTCCAGTGATGGTGGCCATAACAGTGCTTCTGTCACCCTTCCCCCAACTTCCCCCAGGCAGCTCAGCACAAAGAGAGACTCCATTTATTTGGAGAAAAGTGAAGAGAGAGGACAAGAGACTGCCTGGCAATACAGGGAATACTCCAGGATCTTCCCCAAGCCTACCAAGGTGACACCTCTACAGAGGCACAGCATTACTAGGCATGGGGTGCCCTCTAACTTATGTATAGCTGCAGTGAACAAAGACTTAGATGACAATACTTAATTCCCTTTGAATATTTGAAAAACTTTCTCAAGAAGAATGGGGGCTGGGCATGGTGGCTCACGCCTGTAATTCCAGCACTGTGGGTGGCCGAGGTGGGTGGATCACAAGGTCAGGCATTAGAGATCAACCTGACCAACATGGTGAAAGCCTGTCTCTACCAAAAATCCAAAAATTAGCTGGGCGTGGGGGCACGCGCCTGTAATCCCAGCTAGTCAGGAGGCTGAGGCAGGAGAATCGCTTGAACCCGGCAAGCAGAGGTTGCAGTGAGCCGAGATGGCGCCACTGCACTCTAGCATGGGCAACAAGAGCGAGACTCTACCTGGGGGGGGGAAAAAAAAAAGACCCAATGATCCATTATGTACAAAAAACACACTTTACCTACAAAGTCACACATAGACTGAAATTAAAGAGATAGAAAAAGATATTCCATGCAAACAAAAAGCAGAGAAGAGCAGGAGTAGCTATGCTTAGATAAAATAAATTTTAAGACAAAGTCTATAAAAAGAGATAAGATTATTGTATAATGATAAACGGATCAATTCAGCAAGAGGTAATAACAAGTATAAATATATATGTACCTAATACTGGAGTGCCCAGATATATAAAGCAAATATTATTAGAGCAAAAGAGAGAAACAGATCTCAGTGACAGTCGGAAACTTAAACACCCCACTCTCAGCACTGGACAGATCATTCAGAGAGAAAATCAACAAAGAAATATTAGACCCAATTTTCTCTACAGACCAAATAGACTCAATAGATATTTACAGAACACTGTGTCCAACAGCCTTAGAATATACATTCTTCTCCTCAACACATGGACCATTCTCAAAGACCGTCCATATGTTAAGCCACAAAACAAGTCTTTCAAAATTTGACCTGGCAGGTCGGGCATGGTGGCTCACACCTGTAATACCAGCCCTTTGGGAGGCCGAGGCAGGCAGATCACCTCAGGTTGGGAGTTCAAGACCAGCCTGACCAACGTGAAGAAACCCCCGTCTCTACTAAAACCACAAAATTAGCCAGGCGTGGTGGCGGGTGCCTGTAATCCCAGCTACTCAGGAGGCTGAGGTAGGAGAACCGCTTTAACCCAGATGTGGAGGTTGCAGTGAGCTAAGATGGTGCCATTGTACTCCAGCTTGGGCAACAAGAGTGAAACCCTCCCTTAAAAAAAAAAAGAAAGAAAGAAAAAAGGAAAAAGGAAAAATTTGACCTGGCACAGTGGCTCATGTCTGTAATCCCAGCAACTTGGGAGGCTGAAGTGGGTGGATGGCTTGAGCTCAGGAGTTGGAGATGACCCTGGGCAACATGGCAAAGCCCCATTTCTACAAAAAAATAAAAAAAAATCAGCCATATGTGGTGGCATATGCCTGTAGTCCCAGTTACTTGGAAGGCTGAGGTGGGAGGATTCCTTGAGCCAGGGAGGTGGAGCCAAGATCGTGCCAGGTACTCCAGCCTGAATATTAGAGTGAGACTCTATTTCAAATAAATAAATAAAAACTCAAAAAAGTTGAAATCTTATCAACTATCTTCTCTGATCACAATAAAATAACAATTAGAGGCTGGGAGCGGTGGCTCACACCTGTAATCCCAGCACTTTGGGAGGCCGAGGCGGGTGGATCACCTGAGGTCAGGAGCTTGAGACCGGCCTGACCAACACAGTAAAATCCTGTCCCAACTAAAAATACAAAAAAAAAAATTAGACAGGTGTGGTTGTGCATGCCTGTAATCCCAGCTTACTCAGGAGGCTGAAGAAGGAGAATCACTTGAACCTGGGAGACAGAGGTTGCAATGAGCCAAGATCGTGCCATTGCACTCCAGCCTGGGTGACAGAGCAAGACTCTGTCTCAAAACATAGATAAATTTAAAAAATAAAATAACACTAGATAACAAGGGGAACTTCGGAAAGTATACAAATATATGAAAATTAAGCAATATGCTCCTGAATGATCAGTGGGTCAATGCGGAAATTAAGAAGAAACTTGGAAAATTCCTTAAAACAAATGAAAATGGAAACACAACTTATCAAAACTTATAGGATACAGTAAAAACAACAATAAGAAAAATGTTTATAG